AAAACGGTGCCTCCCCGGTATAAACCCAAATTAATCCCCTCAACACACCGCCTGCGTGGCTTAGTGGATAGTGTTCCCCGTCCTGGGATCTTCACGACACTTCCCCACCCTGATTCGATCCCCCTCGGTAACCAGATTGTTTTTGAGCACATTTTTAATTTTTAACCAATTTCTAAGTTTTCTAAAGTGCTTATGAAGCGTTTATATCGTTAGTAAGGTCTCATTTTCATTTTTGCCTCATTTCCCAACTCGATTTAAACAGTAACAGTTTCCTTGTAAGATTGTTGTAGTTTCAAAGTCTTTACATATTGTACAAATTTCAAAATCTGATTCGAAAAGCTCTTCATCTATCTATTACTGTCAAAAGCTAAGTTTAACTAACTAGAGAAAGGCACGAACTTCCCGTGGGCTTTCGTTCATGAATTACATTCATCTTACTAAATCGAGTATGGAGATTCATAATCTGAAATCAAAATCTCCCAAATAAGCTTGCAAAGGCGTAAAAATTGAATCTGAAATTTCGAAGGTAAGCTTTAAAGGACGCTTTTCAGATTTTGAAATTTGTACAATATGTAAAGACTTTGAAACTACTACAATCTTACAAGGAAACTGTTACTGTTTAAATCGAGTTGGGAAATGAGGCAAAAATGAAAATGAGACCTTACTAACGCTATAAACACTTCATAAGCACTTTAGAAAACTTAGAAATTGGTTCTTGTAAATTAAAAATGTGTTATAATAATAATAATACTTTATTCAAACGATAAAGTGAAAGAAATCATAGAGAAATGCACAGTGATACTTAATCATACAATACATACTGAAATCAATAAGCCAATTACTTACGGCAAAGAGCCACTAGATCTAAAGCATCGATACGTTTCTTGAATATGAAAAGCGACTGAATTTCTCGTATGTCGTTTGGGAGCAAGTTCCATAATCTAGCAGCTCTAACGGGAAATGAATTTGATAAAGAGGCATTGGAAGCAAAGGGAATTTGCAAAAGGAATGAGCCACTTCTGGGCCCTGACCGCGGTTTAAATTTGAAAAAGTCTATAAACAAAGGGCTGATCTGTTTACAACGGAGGATTTTGAAAGTTTCGACTAAATGTTCAAAAGAAATTTGGTCAGCGAGGGGATCGAACCAGGGTGGGGAAGTGTCGTGAAGATCTCAGGGCGGGGAACACTATCCACTAAGCCACCCGGGCGGTGTGCTGAGGGGGATTAATTCGGGTTTATACCGCGGAGGCACCGTTTTTTCTTCAAAACTTCATAAGCGTTTTTCTCGAAAATTTTGTATTAATTCAGCAAAATTGAAAAACATGTGTTCCTTAAAATTTAGAGAGCAAATTTAGGGAAAATTTAGAGCTTTTTAGAGGTCTCATTTCCCAAATCGATGCCGAATTGAAAGAATTCCCTTGTTAAATCAATTCTTTTCATTCTAAAACGGATTTTTCTTATTTTCCAAACAAAAAACCTACTTATTCTCGATTTATTTATTTTAAAAAATCTATTTCCTTATTTATTTACGTATCTATTTTTGTTATTTACCTCAAATCTTTTGAATAAACTCTCATTGGTTATTCAAATGATTTCTCTTTAAAAATGAAAAGTCAACACATCCATTTTAGTTCAAAATTCTCTAATTTTGCTCAATTAAACACTCAAAAACTTTAACAATCTTGAAATTATTGATTGTAAAGCTGAAAATCTATTCTTTTTATATGATAAGCGTCTTAGAATCTATCTATTGGGTTGTCCAGTTATGAATGCGCGTTTTTTACTATTTTGTAAATTTCCCAAGATATCGAAATCAAGAAAAAGATATATATGAGTATTATTCGAAAGCTGAAGATCTCCTCTACATTTTGATATAAAAAGTTTTTGAATTTGTTCAGCTTTTGGGCAAATTGACTGCACAGAAGAAGAGGTGGCCAAAAAATGGAAGGGTGCCTTTGGATCAAGTTTTGGCTCCGCTCAAATTGAGTTAACCGTTTGATGTTTGGCCAATAGATATATCAATATAACTTTTTTTAAATATAACAATTTCAGAGCATCTTTACTTTTCTTTTCTTTTCTGGGCGGTTCTTTTACACCATAAAACTTGAGGAATAGCTAAGCTGGAATGGGTTTTTTCAGATTAGGGTATTCAGTATAGAATAGGGTATTCAGTCTAGATTGTCTGGATTACGGTATTGAGTCTAGATTAGAGTCTTCAGTCTAGATTAGCTGGATTACGGTATTCAATATAGAATAGGGTCTTCAGTCTCGATTAAGGTATTGAGTCTAGAAAACGACCTCTCCCTTTGTGCAGTCAATTTCCCAAAAAGTTGAATGAATTCAAAAGCTTTTGATTCCAAAATGTAGAGGAGATGTTCAGCTTTCGAATGGTATATAACACTCATATACACCTGTTCGATGTCTTGAGAAATTCACAAAATAGTAAAAACGCGCATTCATAACTGGACAACCATTCATAACTGGACAACAAGTTTCAATAGATTTTAGAAGTTTAAAAGAAAAGTTGAGAGAAAATTAGAAAAGGAAGGTTTAACCATATAAAAATCCGTCTTTGCATCATTCTTTCAATCATTTTTTTCATTTTAACCTTTTCCAAAGCATTCCATTTCCCAATAATCACAAAAAAAAAGCCTTAAAAATTCTCTACTAAAAGCCTAGTCGTTAAAATTTTGCGAATTACTCTTTCTTCCAGAAAAGAAAACAAGAAATGGGTCGTTGTTTTCAGAAAAAATGCGTAAAATCTTGAATTCATTTATTGAAAGGTTGAAAATTCTCTAAATTCTCTAAATTCCCTTTTTTTTAATATAATTTCTTTCTAAGCATTGATGAATCGTCTTTCTCCAATGCAACGATTGTCTGTTGGTGAGTTTTTTTGTGGAAAGAGTCCAAAAAAAACCGTGATTTTGAGAGTTTTTCTTTGAAAAAATGTAATTTGGAAAGGTTTAAGCTGCAAAAATTCTCAATAACCCGGTTTTTTTCAACTTTAATTTCATTTGCAGTGTGAGCTTTCGAAGAAATTTTCGTTTTAACGCATTTCTGAGCATGTTAAGTCACTTTTTCAAAAGTTATTCTATTAGAAAAGTGATAAAAGATTGATTTTTCATTGATTTTTTATGAGATTTACACAAATTCAGATAAAAAAACATGATCAAAATGTTTCATTCCGTGTTGTTTGCAATAAAATAGCGGAAAGTACCCTTTCTGACCCAATTAATTCTTCAATATTGTTGTTATTTGTGGGAAACTAGTGCATTAGCCAAAAGAGCCAAAAGAACTAGAACTAGGTGCGTTTACTGTGTAATTAGTGCATTAGCAAAGGTGCGTTTACTTTACTTTTAGCTGTGTAAAGTACAGCTTAACAAGTATTAGAACGATTAGTTTACTTAATTGATGCTTATTTTGTAAGATTACTGACAATGAGTACAGTAAAAACTCAAATAGAATAAGAACTCTAATAGAATTCTGATAGAACTCTGATAGAACTCTAATAGAACTCTAATAGAACTCTAACAGAACTCTAACAGAACTCTAGAGAACTCTAATAGAATTCTAATAGAACTTTAATAGAATTCTAATAGAATTCTAATAGAACTCTAATAGAACTCTAACAGAACTCTACTAGAACTCTAATAGAACTCTAGTAGAACTCTAATCGAACTCTGACAGAACTCTAATAGAATTCTGATAGAATTCTGATAGAACTCTGATAGAACTCTAATAGAACTCTAATAGAACTCTACTAGAACTCTAATCGAGCTTTAATAGAACTCTAGAGAACTCTAATAGAATTCTAATAGAACTCTAATAGAACTCTGACAGAACTCTAATAGAATTCTAATTCGAGTTCTATAGAATTCTAATAGAATTCTAATAGAACTTTAATAGAACTCTAATCGAGCTTTAATAGAACTCTAACAGAACTCTAGAGAACTCTAGAGAACTCTAATAGAATTCTAATAGAACTCTAATCGAGCTTTAATAGAACTTTAATAGAATAAACTCTAAGCCCTAATAGTACTTAAGCTTAAAGCTTAAAGCTTAAAGCTTAAAAGCTTAAAAGATGTAAAGCTTAAAAGCTTAAAACTAGGATTACAGTACCCCTACAAGGCTATAGTCTTTCAAAATCTGACCAAAGAGCACTTTGCACTGAAAATAGGTGTAATTACTCAAAAATAGCCACTCAAAAAAGATCTTTCATTGATTCAATAAAATAAACCTCGAAAATATGAAAGAAAAGAGACAAATCCCTTCTTTGTGACGCAAAGAATTTCTAAAAGAGAAAAGGTTCAATTGAAAATTGGAGGGAAATTTGATATTTCCTCTTTATTCTTTTTGAAATTAAGTGATCTTTTTTGCAATTTGACGTTTTTCCTAAAAAAATTGATGTTTTTTTGTTTTTTGGGAGTAATCTTTGCATCGATTTTGGGAAAATAAACTCAAATTTTGGATATTTTGGATATTTGGATATTCTCATGTCTGATTTAAAAGAAGAAACAATTTTTCGCAAACTCTCTAGGCCATTCTTCTCAGGTTTGAAAGAAAAATTGAAAGTTTTTAACGTAAATTAGTTAATAAACGATTGTACAATCGTTTAGTACGATCGTACAATCGTTTAGTCGAATTCTAGAACTTCTTTCTTCTTTCTAGAAAGAAGAAAAGAAAAAAGAAAGAACTTCTTTTCAGAAAATCAGTTTTTTCTCAGTCTCTTAGAGATTTCTTAGCTACAGTTTTGGTATCAAAAAAAACTAGATTTCAAGGGCTATCATTTGACACCATTTAGCACTCTGTAGCTTAAAGCAGTGCAGAGAACGGGACGTTTAAAGTTAGACTACGCGACTGTACCCCCGTCATTATCAGATTCTGTTAGTTGTAAAATTCGGATTTTCTCTGAAGGATTGCACTTGAATTTGCATTGAATGAAGGCAAAAATTCTGAATCTCTCTGATTCTCTCTGATTCTGAATCAAAAATAGAATTTAGATGCGTTCTCGGAAAGTTTTCGAACGTTGGCACTCACCGCGAGACGAAATTCATCGCCGCTTACAAGGAAAAGCACAAAAAAGGTTCCGAATTTCTACAGAATAAAAGATATTCAGTTATTGAAGAAAAATGAGTGTTTAAAGACGAAATTCTGAGCCTTTCACCCAAATTTTAGATGAAAAAATCGCGGTTGATCTCGAAAAATGGTGTTTGCAATGTTTATAATGCAAATGTTCCGAAAAAGGATCGACAATATTTGCGGTAAGCATTTAGAAATCATTAAGGGCTATCATTTGACACCATTTAGCACTCTGTAGCTTAAAGAAACGCAGAGAACGGCACGTTTAAAGTTAGACTACGCGACCGTACGCCCGTCATTATAAAAAGTCTAATTTTGAGATTTTATTGTATAAAATTTGACTGATTGACTTTTCTAGATGAACCTTTCATGTTGGTTTGCCAGATGCCACTTTTTCTGAAATGAAGGGTACGCAAACTTGGGTAATTAAACCAGGGAGAGGCCTTTTTCGGTCACTCAACCAAAAGGCGTGTGCCAGATGGCACTTTTTTTCACGAGTGACATGAAGAGCACGCACCCTAGGGTAATTAAACCAGGGAGAAGGCTTTTTCGGCCACTCAACCAAAAGACGTGTGCCAGATGGCACTTTTTTTCACGAGTGACAAGAAGAGCACGCACACTGGGGTAAAAGATGCGTACTCTTCATGTCTTTAGGAGGAAAAAGTCGCATCTGGCACACTGCTTTTGGTTGAATGGCCGAAAAAGGCGTATCAACGGTTTAATTACCCAAGTTCGCGTACCCTTCATGTCGGAAAAAGTGGCATAATATTAACAGTTTAACTACCCAACGTTGCCAGAAAGCGAAAGTTTACACGAATGTACAAAGTACAAAGCGTTTTTAGGATTGTAAATTGGTTTTCTGGAGTTATCGAGCTTTAGAATTGTTGTAAAGATGTAGAAAATAGGGAATTGTTAATGATCTAGCAGTTGTTAATGATCTGGCAGTTGTTAATGATCTGGCAGTCGTTAATGATCTAGCAGTTGCTTAACCTTATCAATCTTTTCAGAGACATCTTCACTACAATGATTGATGTGAAATGGAGATACATGTTCGTCATTTTCGCGCTCGTTTTCATCAGCAGGTGATTGAAAATTTTGAATTTTATGCAGAGATTCTAGTTGGACTTTCTTTGCAACTCTCTATTATTCGATCGCTTGGCTTCACGGGGATATGCCAGAGCAACTAATGGAAAATGGATTGAATGTAAACCATACACAATGTATAGCAAATTTGGAAGGATATTATGCATCGTTTCTTTTTGCTGTTGAGACACATCACACAATTGGATATGGACATCGGTGAGTTTAGGCGCTGCTTACAGTTGTAAGAATTGAAATATAACATGTTTGCTGAGCTCTTTATGCTGATTACTAAAGGAAGTTTGAAGTAGAAAGAAAAGAAGAAAGAAAGAAGAAGAAAAAGAAGAAGAAGAAGAAGAAGAAGAAAGAAAAGAAGAAGAAAAAGAAGAAGAAAGAAATTAGAACCACTTCTTTTTGCAAAAGTAGTTCTAATTGATTAAGTTGACTAATTAACAGACTAATTAACAAAGTTGAATAACTGCTAAAGCCTAGATCAATTTTAAGGCTTGTTTTAATTGCCTAACTTTGGCAGAACTCTTAACTAACGATCTTTTCAGATATACAACAACTGAGTGTAAGATTGCGGGTCTTGTTGTTTGTACTCAATGCATTTGTGCTCTTCTCATTCAATCATTTATGGTTGGACTCGTTTTCGCGAAAATGGCTCGACCAAAGAAAAGAGCTGAAACGATTATTTATAGGTACTGTCATATTTCTGTCTTTTGTTATTAGCTCATTGATTTTAGTGAAAAGGCGGTGATTTGTCTTCGTGATGGGCAATTGTGTTTCTTGTGTCGAGTCGGTGATATGAGGAATACACATTTGGTGGAAGCACACGTTAGACTGCAATTTATCACCGATCGAGAAACGAGTGAAGGAGAGGTGAAAGATTTAAGGAGAAATAAACAAACCACTATTTCTTAGATAGAACCGCTGCATCAGTTTGAGATGAAAGTCGGCCCGAGTATCACTGATGATGATCGCATATTCTTGGTGAGAAATTGTTTTCTTCAATCAAATCAATCAAACAAATCAATCAATAATCAATCAATCAATCAATCAAATCAATAATCAATCAATCAAAGCAATCAATCAATCAAAGCAATCAATCAATCAAAGCAATCAATCAATCAAAGCAATCAAATCAATCAATCGATCAATCAATCAATCAATCAAATCCTTGTTCAGGTTTGGCCGACCACCTTGTGTCATGTAATCGATAAAGAAAGTCCTTTATATGAATATGCCGCTCATTCACTTCATTCTGCTCAATTCGAAATTATTGTTTTGTTAGAAGTAAATGGAAAGTTGGTAATGATCTAAAGAAGAATTTTAGGGTATCGTTGAATCAACAGGAATGACAGCACAAGCAAGGACGAGTTATCTTCCATCAGAAATACTTTGGGGACATCGGTGAGAGGTTTTTAATGAGCTAAAGCTGAACAATGAGCTAAAGCTGATTAAAGAGCTAAAGCTGATTAATGAGCTAAAGCTGAACAATGAGCTAAAGCTGATTAAAGAGCTAAAGCCAAAGCCAAAAAATCATAGTTATGCAAGCGAATAGATAATTGTCTTACAAGGAAACTTTCCAAAGAGACTTTTAAACGTCGATGGTACAAATGCCGTCAATACAAACGCCTATCAAACATGACAAATTTGATGCTGTTATGACTTTCTGAACAAGTTTCAGTCATTTTCAGTATTTGGAACTTATCTAAAGAAAAACATTAAAATCTTATGAGTTCAAAAAGAGAAAGACTTAAAAAAAGCTAAAGCAAACACTTTAGGAACTCTAAAAAATGTTTTGTGGAAGTTTTACAAAAGAAGCAAAAGTAGGGCGACGAGGGGAATCGAACCCGAGAGCAGAGGTTGCACTAGTTTGATAGTCTAACGCACTATCCACTAGACCGCCGCTGTTTTTGTCATCCTCTTATAGATGAGGTGAGCGTTTAGAGCGTTCCCTTGTTAGCTTTGACTTGAAAATCAACCTTAAGAACATCCTTAGACAATTGTAAAAGAGAATCTAAGAATACTGTAGTTTCATTTTAGATTACAGTATCTCTCTAAGGCTTACAGGAATTAGTGTATTCTTTGTTTTAAAAGACTAGACTACAGACTACAATAAAAAAGCTGTTTGTTCTACTATTCTTAAAAAAAAAATACATTTATTGAAAACCAATAATGTGATACAAACAAAGGGTACATAATAAGACATAAAGGTTAAACACACAATTTTATGGCACTGCGGCCGTTCTCACCCCTATTTACCCCTATTACCCAAATGTTGTGAAAGAAAAAACCCCACTTGGTGGGAAAAAGAAACATTTTTATCTTGCCAGAGTGATTGAACCCTCGACCTTCCGCTTAAGAGACAAGACTCCTAACCGGTCGGCCATCTGGCCACCGGTTAGGAGTCTTTACATAAAATTCGAAGATCCCAATCTTTTCAGCTTCCGAAAACTCGTCACCTATCAACGAAGCAATGGCTCTTATCAAATTGACTACAATCTTTTCAACTGTACTTATCCGGTGAAAACACCGACTTGTTCAGCAGCTGAATACTACAAGTGCAGTAAAGATGTAAGTGTTTCAAATTAAAAGAAAAGAAAATTAAATTTTGTTTGAATCGTTTAGACGAGCGATTATTTCTGTCATGACAATCAAGAGCATCGTTTGGATGAAGTGAGAAGCATGGAGAGTACACCGACCCCATCTGTGCTCACGAGTTATCCAAATTCACCGCTTCCCGTTGCGCATCTCAATGAGAATAAGGTATTTTTGGAATGGATGACTTGAAATGGATTATTTGAAATGGATTACTTGAAATGGTTTACTTGAAATGGATGACTTGAAATGAATTACTTGAAATAGATTGCTTAGGACCTAAAAACCAAGCCAGGTCAGTCCCAGACTTCTGGCAGATAAAAGTTCTTCTTGTAGACCAGTACTACAGTAACCCCCGCCTCAAAAAAGTGTCCTTGGAACAACCCTACATTGTACTGATAATGTTTTATATCTGAATAGCTTGAATTAGTGATCATTTGGGTCTTAGCGGTCTTCCCGGCGGGCTTCATTTGCTGCAGTCTTGGCCGAGGGGTAGAGCGTTCGTTTGCAGAGCGAGAGGTCATAGGTTCGGACCCCACCTTGGCTTTTTCTTTGCTTTTTTTAAAGAAGTGCTGGGTTCTTTGTGCACAAACGCTTTCATACTTTTATTCGTTTTAAATTTGAATTTGAGATTTGAATAGCTTGAATGATTGAATAACAAATTGATTGAATAACAAATTGAATTAGGTAAAGATCTAGAGTTAAACAATCTAAAAACCTAATTTACTTGTGGACATAGAACAATGAGATTAGAAAGAAATAGAAAACTGAATAGAAAACTGAATAAGAAAATGAATTAGGTAAAAATCTAAATTTAAACAATCAAAAAGCTATTGTACTATCAAAAAGCTAGCTAAGCTACTTGAGAAATTGTAAAAGAAACGCAAGAAGTTTTTAATAGTAAACATGACATCGACATTTATTAAAAGGATCAAAGAAACGAGAGACTTTTTGAAGAAATCCTTTCACTTTTATGTTCTTTCTGTAGCGAAAATTGAATGTAATTTGAAAAGATTTTGAGTCGGGAAAAAATAGAAGATCTAATGAATAGAGAATCGACTTTTTCTGGCTGATTCTCTTTCGAAATGAGATAAATGAAATGACTTCATAAATTGATTGATCATTATTCCATTTCTTCATTTTCTTTCTCCAGAATTTCTTTTGTTGATGGCAAATTTGAAAGCCTTGTTCTTTGAGAAAAGCTTTTCTTTTCTCGAATTCTTTTACCGGATCTCTGAGTGACCAAGGGTAGATATGAGTGCAAATGGATCCAGAAAAGTTTGGGTTTTTGCTTGGAAATCCTTTTTTTAAAAGTATTTCAATAGATTCTTTAAAAATCTCTTCTTTCTTACAGACTTTTCGAATCGATTTGAGATTAAGATTTGCAAAATGTTCATAAAAGACTGCTAGGGGTAAATGAAAGCTGAGATTTTTTCGTAACTTCATTTTTTTAATCATGTTTAGAAGAAATTGTATATTGTAGTCTGAATTCGATAAAAAACGAAAATGAAAACTTTCAACAACTTTTGGACAATAATTATCAATGATCGTTTCAAAAATGGAATAATCATTAACAAATACAAGATATTCAGCTAAAGAAGAGAATTTTGGAAGAAAATCGAAAAGATTATAAGGAAAAGATGTTGAATTTGATGTTATAGATGGCGTTTTGATGAATAAATGGATTCGTCGACAAAAGCGCAAATTTTTAAAGAGAATTGTCATTAGGGGAATTGTATCAATCGGATTTTCAAGCAATTGACTAAATGTTTTCAGATGAATACGTTTTGTTTTTGATTTGAAATAGATTTCAAAGTCATTGCAAACGATTTGGCCATTAATTTCTTTAGCGCTTTTTGTTCTGAATGAGATTTGGTGAAGAGTTTTTGTGAATGGGCCACGCTTTAGGAAATAGTATCGAGATTGGTGATCGGTTTTTAGAAAATTTGGAAAATCGGTGAGATCTATGTGTTCAAGGCAAGCTTCTCGTAGGAGATAGGGTAATTTTGGGATGGGAAACATTTGAGGGAAATCGATTGGATAAATAGATGTGGCAAATAGATGAATAGATGTTGAAAAGTTGCTAAAGTTGGAACAATTATTGGCTCAGGTCAAAGAAACACCCCGGGCATTTGTGCCTGAGTCGTAAAATTATTGTAGTTATTTTAGTAGTAGTCTAGAAGTCGTTAACCCATTTAAACTCATTAAAAGCTCATTAAAATCTATTACTATTACTCTATTACTACCGTATTTTCTCTAATAGTAGTGCACCCTGAGCGTCGCCTAAATTGCTCGAAATCTCGAGAACCGCTTATCAAAACCTATCGATGTCGGGTCGGAAAATGTAGCTGATGATGAGATCTAGTGGGGAATTTGAATGTTGAGCTTCTGGGAAAACTTTGGAAGCCGTAAATAGTCACCAACTCGGCTCGCCGGGGTACACCACGATTAGAGAAAATACGGTAGCTGAAATGTTGCTACAGTGCGAAGACAGAAAAGGACACACTTTAGCAAACAATGGTTTGTCGTTCTTTTTGAAGCTTTCATTGATGGATAGTGCGTTGATTTTCAAGCCTAAGCCTAAGTCTAAGCCTAAGTCTAAACCTAAGTCTAAGCCTGAGCCTGAGCCTGGACCTAAGCCTGGGCCTAAATCTAAGCCTGAGCCTGGACCTAAGCCTGGGCCTAAGTCTAAGCCTGAGCCTGGACCTAAGCCTGGCCTAAGTCTAAGCCTGAGCCTGGACCTAAGCCTGGGCCTAAGTCTAAGCCTGAGCCTCACCAACTCGGCAGGGTGCACTATTAGGGAATGCACCTTAAGGTTTGCCTAGATTCCTCGAAATCTCGAGAACCGCTTATCAAAACCTATCGATGTGAGGTCGGAAAATGTAGCTGACGATGAGATCTAGTGGAGGATTTGAGTGTTGAGCTTCTGTAAAAGCTTAGAAACCGTAAATTAGTCATCAACTCGGCTCGGCCGGGTGCACTACTATTAGAGAAAATACGGTATGCATATCAATCATTATTCAACATTCTAAGAGTTATTCTACATATCTCTAAAAATAGAGCAGCAAGTACAGAAGTATATAGTTATTCCACCGTACTCTTGTAACCTAAACGTTAGCAGGGTTAGTATAAATATACTGGATACTACTGGATACTAAGACGACATACTGTAGACTCAATCAAAGTTATAGTACTCGTTATATTCGGATTGGATCCCGCCTATCATCCTCTTCTTACCTCAAGACACTGCAGATTGGTGTTCACGATTTGTGGTTGTTCCACCCTAAAGCTGACTCTAATTTCGTTGAGCCATTTATGCAAACCTCGTAAAATTCTTTGTTCTTTGGATCGCTGGTAGTTTAGTATTCAGTTTATCAATTTATCTACACAAAGAGATCTTATAGAGAAAGTGGAAGAGATTTAAAGATATAAAGCTAGCGAGCTAGAGCACAATATAAGTTTAGATTATGAATCTAAAGAAATCTCAGAAATCCACTCTAGAAATCCACATTGCAAGACCTACTCAATTTCAGCCACCAATAAACGTCTCGGAGAATTCACTCCTTTCTTCAATTCCTCCTCCATCAATCGTCGTTCAATGTCCCTCAAATTGCACATCACCCAATCATGCTGATCAGAAGAAGAAATTCGCAAACAATCGACCGAATAATATTTTCAACTTTTACACAAGAGACACCTCATGGTAATCTTTAGCTCAAAAAAAGTCTTTTCGTTCCTTTTCGTTCCGTTTAAGCCAACAAAACCAATTAAACATTTCCGCTCTTTTCCATCTTTTTCAGAAATCCATGGTTGCTCTTGGCTTAATAGCGCGCCCCAGCTACCGTACCCTTGCCGCAAGCAATGCACGTATATAAGGTCATTTCGCCCATTAGCTGGGGCGCGCTATTAAGCGTAGAGCAACCACGGATTTCTGAAAAAGAACGGAACTCGATTGAACTACGGTTTGTTTCATTAAAAAAGCCAATTATTTTTCTGCAAAATAACATTAAAATGGGTTTAAAACGTCTTGATTTTTTTGAAGCGTGAAGTCGGGTAGTCAAAAACAGCTTACGGCTTACGGTTTAGGCACTTTAGCTAAGGAAACCTATCTTTACGTCAATAGCTAAAAGATAGAGCACAAAAAGTTAAGTATATAGCTAAATTTTCAGAGAAATTGATTCAGCCAATTTCTTCGTAGAGGTTATTATAGAATTTTGAGAAAAATATGGATTTCAACCTCGAATTTGCGCTTTGTGCTTTGCGAGTTTAGACACTTTACCTAAGGAAACTTATCTTAGTGTCATTGGATAAAAGATAGAGCACCAAAAGCTTTGTATATAGCCAAATTTTCAGAGAAATTGATTCAGCCAATTTCTTCGTAGAGGTTTTTATAGATTTTTATAAAAAAGGCAAAGAACACTCTCGAATTTGCTTGAAAGTGAACCCAAATTGACTTAAAAAGATGGGAAATTGAAGAAGAAACACTTTTTATTTAGAGAAAACCTAAGCTTAAGCTTTTTTTATTTAGAGCAAATTGGTGAATTTGTTATTTTTCAACGGAAGTATGAGAAGGAACGAAAAGATTTTTTAGATTTTCTTTTTAGCCTAATAATTTGATTTTAATTAATTAATATGGGTTAACACCGTTCTGATTTTCTGGACAGGATCATTTTTTATTCAATTAAATGTTTTCAGTGCTGTGAGTATTGGTGAACTTTCTGGTTCAACTCGTCCTTCAACAGCTTTGTCGGATCTTGAAGAGGAAAGGGATCCTGTATCTCCACCGCCGGGTAAGAAGAATAAGAACAAGCTTTAGAAACAAAAAGATTTAGAAAGTTTTGGTTCTGAGATTTAGAAAGTTCAAAAGTTTAATTGAAGGTAACTTACGAGTACAGTACAGTTATAGTAGTATTCGAAAGTTGACAAGTTCCATCACCAACCAAAAGAATAATACAAAAATGGCATGAATTATCAGAAATTGTCATGAATTATCACAAACAAGATACGAGGTTACGGTAGTATTCAAAAGTTGACATGTTTTAGAATTGAAACCCTTACTCATCATAGAAACCGACAAATCACTTCAGGCAAAACTCTCCTCAACAAGACGGGCTACCAAGAAGAAATCCAATGTATCGATGATGAGGATGCCGTGATATGAAAGAAATCTTATAGTTTTTGATCTCTAATTTAAATCTCTACCTATTTGTTAATCTCTAAGCCTCGATCTCATTACCGTATTCCCTCCACTTTAGAAAATATGGGTCACTTTTGTCAATGTGCTGATCTCACTCGTTTTTTTTTGGATCTTTTGGAAGCGTTTACCGGTATTTTCACAATAAGCTTTCTTATTTTGTGTGCATAAATTTAAAGCTGGAATAAAAATTTATTGAATCGAAAATATTTGAATACAAATATTTGCATTAAACAAATAAACCCAAAAAAGCTTCAATTTTCCCTTCATACACAAAAATCAGACTCCGAAAGATGCTCGGGCTTCGCTTGCCAGGTAAATTTTTATTATTTTAACTTGCTACTTGACATTTTATGCTTGCAAAAGGTTTAAAAAGTAGAGAAAATCAGAAGTTATTTGATTGTTTTTATACATTCCGAGTGCCCCCCTTTCCGATGTTTTTTTGCCCATAACTTTCTTCAAACTTAACTTTTTTTGACTGATGTAGTTATCATTTTATTTCTTACATTAAAACAAATCTAATGATCTAATGAATCTGATAATCTAATAAGTTTGAAGATAGTTATGGGCAAAAAACGTCGAACATCCCCCAGAGGGACACTCAGAATGTATAACTGTTTTCACCTACTCAGCCAAATTGGTTTTCTAAAACGCACTATCGTATTGTTAAAAGTTCACTGTTGCTCAACTGGATATCTGTTACAGTTTTGGGTATAAAGACCTTTCCAGAGAAAAACTTTTTCGTTTTGTTTTGATGCACTCGTGCAGATTACGCTTTTTTAGACTTGTTTTTGAATTTTTTAAACTTTACCACTGTTTATAATGTTTTTACTTTCAGCTACGATGAAATTGTTTGGTCGCTCGACGAAGACGCCACCTGAGATGGCGAAAGGACTCAAAGATGCTCTTCTTTTGATTGAAGTCGACAAAGAGAAGGATCGACGACGGGGAATTGAAGATGCCGGGAAACACCTGATGGCAATCAAAATGATGATTCAAAGCAATGAAGGACAGGAATCTGCAATTGAAATGGTAACGGTTTTGGTGCTTCATGAGGCTGTGGTGGAATCACCTATTCTAGTGTGGCTGAGTTATCCAATCTAGTAATCAACAAATTGGGCAAGGATGCGCCTGGAGGTACTCGTTAGGTTTAGAATTAGACGCCATTCTTTGTTGAGCAAAATTTGGGTGCAAATGTTTAAATAGGGATTGTTCAAACTTTACTTACATCTTACATATGACTTTGTGTTGCAAAGTGCCATCTCCAAACCATCCGCAGCACTTTATTAATATAGCTTTGCATGCATAGCGGCACCTATGTTGAGTTAGCATAGAGATGAGGAAAATGTAATTGCAATCAATGCTATGCACCAGTTAATGTTTATAAATAGTATCACTAACTTATTTTTTAAACATTTCAAATTTCTTTACTGTAGAACAGCCAACTGCTGACGGAGTTTATGAAAGGAGATATCGCTCGACACATTATCATCAACTTGAGCTTGCTCGATTTTGAAAGCCGCAAGGATGCAGTTCTGATTATCGGATCGATGTTACGCCGACAGGTACTTCCATTCTTTGTTCGATGTTTATTTTTTATTTAGCACGGAGTTCGCTGGCCCATGGCCGAGCATTTGGCCGAATGTCCCGGAGTGTTCGATCATCTCGTTAACTGGTGAATAGTTTTAATTCAGTGCTGTTACCGTTTATACTGAAGAAAACAAGCACTTTACAAGTTTTTTAGTTACGAAAGTAGTGAGCTGTGTTCGGCTGTTGGCACCATCCTCCGTGACTCCATTCGGCATGAAGTTTATAGCGCTTTTTGTTGCTTTTAAAATTTGATTGTTTAGAGACTTGCTAGCATGTTGTTGGAGTCAAGGGGATTCTGGATGTTCTTCAAACTTGTGCAAGACGAACGTTTCGACATTGCCGGGGATTCGTTTTTGACGCTCAAAGAATTGCTCACTCGACACAAGGCTCTCGTCTCCCACTTCATCAACCAGAACTACGTTTGTTTCTTTGAGCATCTCAATGGACTCCTCGCTTCGGACAATTATGTGGCGAAGCGTCAATCCATCAGAGTATGTTTTACCTTATTATTTTACGGTTAAATCACGAGTTCTTTGTCGTTCAATGTCGATTAAATCATTCAGATATTTTTGTTTTAGTTACTCGGCGAGCTGCTTATCAATCGTCTCAATTTCTCGGCGATGATCCGTTATACGTCAAACAGTGAGAATTTGAAGTTGGTGATGAATCTCCTTTCTGAGCAATCACGAGCTATTCAATTTGAGGCCTTTCACGTGTTCAAAGTTTGTACATTTTCATTTATTTTTAATTGGGTTTTAGGTGTTCATCGCTAATCCTGAAAAGAATCAAGCCATTTTGGCAATCTTAACTCGCAATCGGTAAGTTATTTCCTTGACTTTTTCACGAATATGACTAATTTTAGAGTCAAGCTGCTTGGATTCCTACAGACTTTCTGCAATGAAAGGGACAAAGATGATCAATTCAACGATGAGAAGGACTACGTGATCCGGCAAATCAATACACTCCCATCGCACGATCAAACTCGATCACTGTCGCCAGGCCGTTTGATGCAGGAGGGGGAAGAGCTGCCCATTTCGCCTCTACGACATTCTCCTCAACTTTTGGAGCAACCTCGCGCTTTTGCCTGATCTCATCTCACTCAATAGTCTTTGTGTTCATGTAGCTCATTCATTAACTGTCTATATTCATTAAGTATCCTCTTTTTGTTTCCTCTCAGTTCAATATTTTTGCCTTAAATGAAATTCTCTTTGTGGCCGGGATTTCTGTTCTTTCCTCCCAGTTTTGTGCATGTTACTAGTCACTTGTGTGCTTTCACCGTCATCGGATCCAAAAAGCTTTCTGCTGGGTTTTTTCTTTCATGCACCATTGAGATCATTGCTTACTAGTCTTTAATTTACTGGGATTTTTGTTGACTTTGTTACTGGTTGCGTATTAAGTCCGTTTCTTTGAATTGAATCTTTGAAATTGGATAGTTGACTATGATTCATACAAATAAATTCTTCCTAAATTCAAGGAATGAGATGGAAATAGTTTGACGTTTGGCTTATACATATACAATAATATTTCATTGCGAAATGGGTTTTGACGGATTTCATGCATTTTGATTAGTGAATGACGCATTATACAGTGAGCACAAACAGTCATTTTCAGGTTCCTTTAGCGAAGGAAAGAGTCGCGCTCCTTTTACCGTAGCCTTTTTTTTCCAAAGCTTACGCGACGAATTTGAAATTTTTGTGTTACGCGATGAATCTTAAGCTAATAGACTATTTACCTTGATGGTTCAAGATATCATTTGCTTTTACAAGTTTTACAAGTTTCTACCCTGTAAAATTGAGCTCAAGCTTTCTAAAGTTATTATTTTTAGATGGCAGAAAATGCTCCGGAAGATGGAGAATTTCTCGTCGACTGCGGTTTTGAACGACCCCCAAGTCCGATGTGCGATCCAACAAAGCAAAAGCCCGAAATGTTGAGGAACGGGAAGAAATTTTCTAAGGTTGGTCTTGAGTTTTTTTGAGTAGAAGGTATGCGAAAAGTAGCGAAGTAGAGTCTAATTGTTTAAGTCGTAAATTTGTTTATGTTTAGATCCATCATATTCCATTGGTCGGTGCTGCAATTGTCGAAGTGATTCACATCGAGAGTCCGAGTTCTTTTTGGGTCCGGCCTTACAATCATATCACTTCACAGCTGATCTTGGAGGAGCCAACAAGGTTAAATTTTTTGTTTGCATTTTGATTTTAACTTTAGTGAGCCGCTCATTCAATTCGCGAAGCACGAGTTCCCCAATTTGCTGAAGCGCTACTGTATGGCTCCATTGGAAGATCAAGTCAGTGAAGGCGATCTCGCTGCTGATGTCACTCAAAGGCGTTATGGAAGAGCACGAGTCGTTGAGGTGGATGGACTTTGTATTGTTTATATATCAAATTATTTAGGCTGTTTCAAACGAGCTTGTGCGGGTAATCTTTATAGATGAGGGACGACTGCAATGGGTCAATCCAATCTGTTTGGCCGTGATGCCAGTGAGTTGTGCCTCCAATTCACGTAAAATGTATTCTAGGATAATTTCTACTATCATCCTTGGCAAGCAATGTACATGTGTCTGGGTGGAGTTTCGCCAATTGATTCGTCTATGGTAAAGTTAATGCGTGCTCTCGTGATTATTTTTGATTTTAGACTGAAGCAAGACCTCGTTGGACTGAAAAACATGATGCGGCTTTTCGTGAAATCATTCGAGAGTTTGAACTGTTTAAGGTAAAAGCTTGGCTACCATATTATTAATTTAAAGCGCTCTATACATTATGTGGCGGTAAAATAGACTTTGTTATTTGAAAAAGTACAAGCTGATTTTTAGGTTGTGGCCATCAAAAGCACAGTGTTGCACGACAATTATGCAAAGGCACATCTTGTCGATTTGTTCGGATTGAAGAATAAACAGCTGGATCAATGCGACAAAGTGGACGTCGATATTTTGGGACTCTTCGGAGCACACTGTTATGGATCGGTAAATTATTTATTGCGTTCATTTGTAAATGTTTTCAGGTGGTTCAAATGCCCGTCTTCAATGCTGCAACCTACGTTAAGCCTGCACCCTTTCAAGTTTATGAGGTATGTCATCGTTTTCTACTTTAATAGTAATTCATTTTTAGAAACGAGAAGTAACCGATCAACGCTATGAAACTTTTCCGGACCAATGGGAAGTGGAACAAACGGATGAGGTGATCGAGAAAAGGAATCAAATTGCTGGACAAAATCTTGTTAAGTTCGTTTTAATGTTGATTAAAAAATAAATTAAAGGGAACATTTCAAGATTAACCTTGAAAAATTTTCAAATCATCAAATCAAAACCGGGTTCCTACAACTTTTTATCCCATGGGTTAGGCCACCCGGTCTAGTGACTTTAGTCACGAAACCTTTGACGGTTGATTGATCATCGGATCATGAAACCTTATATGACATGAAGGTCTTTGTACCTGAGTGTCTTTTGTTTCTAACGATAAACTTGGATAGTTTAAACCTACTACTATTTTTTTCATATAATTTAACTTGTATTAGTTTCGACTACGATGCTGAGGATCCAAAGTTTCAAATCGTTAATATGGATTTGAAGTATTTGCAAGACCACAAGTTAGTTTTCCTTTTTGAAAAATTATAATTTAATCGTCGCTCAAAATGAGATCATTTATTTAGATTTGTTAGCAGCGATGGCACGGTGCTATTTCACGTTTTTGGTGCTTACTTGCAAAACCCATACGAGTTTTATGGAATTCCCTACAGAAAAATGCGAGCGGTGGCCGATGATGTGAATAACCGAGGTAAATTGTTGTTTTCAATTCACTCCAATGGATAATTTAGAAGTTGAACAACCTTTAACGATGCGTGAAGCTATGCTTGAATTGACGAGCGAACGCAAGGAATTCGGCGATCAACTGGATTTGTTTTATCGAAAGAAGTTCAATCGGATTCCGATGGACAGGCCAGATGTGAACGGAAGAAAAAGAGTGTAAGTTTTAACTTAAGCATTCAGTAAAGATAACTGTTAGTTTGGATCATATTTATTAAGCGCTGAAGGAGTTAGCGACTGGGGTATCTATTGAATTATTTTAGAATGGATTGGTTGGAACGTGGTATCCGGGTCTACGGAATTTGCAGCTGTATCGGCATGGAGAGACGCAAAAGAAATGGTGTTTATCAACGAGTTGAAGTAAGTATAGCTTGCTTTTATAGCCTACATGGATAAATGTAGCGCTTGGAATAGTAAACTAGCTCTTGTTAGACATCAGCTGCTCGATTCTTAATCACTGTCGTAGATTGTTTTTGTTTAGGGCTAATTTTCAAGCATTTAGATCATTTGCGCGGATACTTCCGATACGTACCGCCTCCGTTTTCTCGACACTGGTGGAATCGTTGCACAAGTTTATCACACCGAGGTCTATCAAATTAATCCAAGGTAGTGTTGGTTGTTTGGTTAAGTCGTGTCAAAGATTTGATCAACCATATGCTTCCACGGCTCCTAAATTTTTAATTGATTCAAATCTTTAGACATTGTCAGCGCCCTGCCATTTGCATGCAACTCTGCTGGCATGGAGTTAAAGACAACGATGCAGCGTATGCAGCTAAAAGGGTAACAGATTTTGAATCGTATAATATGAATGTTTTTTCAGGCTTTTCAAGTAAAGGTCATTGCTGCATTTAAGGAGAATTTCTACTGTGATGGACCAATTCGTCTAACGCTTCGAGGTATACATATTTCTTTGATGTAACATTAAAAGTGCCATAAAAATCACATTTATATCAGGCACACATGAGCCTAGCAAAAAGGTAGTATACAAGGGAGTAGTGCCAGTAGCACCACACGATATGTGGAATGTGACCTGCTGTTCGATAGTTGAGGTGAGCTGGACAGTGTTTTAAGGAATTATTTTTTTTTGTTTTCAGTTGGATTCGTCCTTGACGCAAGAGGTGAATCTTCTGAAAGTGCTTCTGTTTAACGAAAGGCCCGAGCCCGGACGATTAGTCATCGATTATCAAATGCCTTTCGATTTTATTGCGGGTTGAATTCTTAATTTTGATTTGGTCTCGCACTTTGACTTTGTGATCTTTTTTAAACGCGTATTTTTTTTTGTCTTGGTGATTTTTGTTAAATCTTTTATATACTATTTTCATGTTAGGATAAATATTCCTTTTAAAACTACACAAAAGTGGACAGAAACTGTAAACTCAAGCGTAAAAAAGCAAATGCTGGAGCTGGAATAGTTTAGAGCTATTCTGGTCTCAACTCAGCATAATGCCCATTGAGAGGTTTGAAAGGAAGAGCTCGAAAAACCCGGAACTCTGTCGCAGGGGTCTCAGAGAAGCAGAGGGTCCAGGGTTCGATCTCCCTGTTTTGAAAATAAAAATGAAAAAAGGGAGAGGGAGAAAGAAAAGTGAAGAGAAAAAAAGGTATAATTTTGATTCATATTTTCAACTATTCATTACTTTTCGTGAAAGACCAAAAATTCCAATAACTTTCTCCTGTGACACATTTTACACATACACACAGCTTAGCTAATCTAAATTGGTACATATCTTGTTCGCAGAAAGCGACAAGCGAAATTTTCCCATCAAGTACATTTTTTTCTGAACTTTGCGGAGTTCAGGGAAGTTTGAGTCTTCTCATTTTTTTTTGTGAATTGATGGATTGGATAAATTCGGGAATTGATGATTTACAAAATGTTATTGAAATTTCTTTGATGGGATTTGTGAGTTTATTTGTTTGGCAAATGATTTGAGGAGGATTTTTTTGCAGCTGGCCGTGCTCGGAGCCGCTTTCGCCGTCGCCGGCATTGTGGTTGTGAATGAAAACGCATATCTTAGAGGTGATTGGCTTTGAGCTCGAATTTCGAAAAATGATCAAAGATCTCAAAATTCTCAGGTCTTGTAAAGCACTATATAATGATCGATTTGATCGCTTTATTGGTTGGCCTTATCGCTTTTCTCTGGGCAGTTCCGTGTGCGATTTGGTAAAAAGAAATTTACATTCACATTTACAAATCGATGAAATGGCAAAAATTTGAGGAATCTACACGAAAGTCTTCCATTTCTTGATCGTTTAATGTCGAATTTTGTCTATTTCTCGCTGGCACCCGGCTACAATGCAAGAGTAAGCATTACACTCAATAACAGCTCAAATCTCAGCTCAAATCTCAGCTCAAATCTCAGCCCAAAGCTCAGCAATTTGTCGAAATTTTTACCTTTGCCTTGTTTAGCTTTTCCTTGGAATCAATCGCTTTCTCGCTCTTGCCTTTAAAGGACGATATTTTGAGATATTTAATCGCTTAAAAGTCATCCAATATTTCATTCTCATTGTCTATCCGACAATCACTTTCGCTTCGCTTTTTCGACGTGAGTCAATTGATAGGAATGTTCTCGAGCTTTAGTTCTAATTGAGTTCTAATCGAGCTCTAAAGATTAGAGTCTCTAAAGTCTATAAGCCAGCTAAAACCAAGCCAGACAAGGCTAGGACCAGGCCAGCTTTAGCCGGCCTCTAGACCTGAGCGGGTTCAAGCCCTTTGGTCCAAGCCTTTGGTTCAAGCCTTTGGTCCAAACCCTTTGGTCCAAGCCTTTGGTTCAAGCCTTTGGTCAAAACCTTTGGTCAAAACCTTTGGTCAAAACCTTTGGTTCAAGCCCTTTGGTTCAAGCCTTTGGTCCAAGCCTTTGGTCCAAGCCTGACTCCAGGCTGGCTCAGGCACTTTTAGGTCAAATCAAAGTCATAGTCAGTGTAAGAAAGTGTTAACGTTAAGTACTAAAAGCAAACGGTTTCAACATTCGATTCGAAAAGTCAGATCAATTTCTAAAAATAGTTTTGGAGTCTCCCAACTCATCGCTAGTTCTTACATAGATAAGCCATTCTAATAAAGCTTAGTTCAGCTGGCTGTGCTGCATTATTCGTGGGAAACGGCTTGAATCACTTTGAGATCGAGTCTCAATGTCCTTTCTCGATAATCCCATATACTATTGTAAGTAGAATCTAAAATCTAAAACCTAAAATCTTTTTAGACAATGGCCAGTTATTTCTATCATTCTGTCACCACATTCTTTGATATAGCCGTCTTTTTTCTTGTTCGACGTCGCCATCGAGCTTTCTATCGAGAGCAAAAGCAACAAGTGATCAATCAGAGACAAGCCAAAGATATACAAAGGGAATATCGATTAGCATTACAGGTTATGTTGATTGGTAATTGAAAATCATTGAATATTGACATGGGAAGGTCAACTGGCTAGGCCAAACCTATACTATTTGACGTAGAATTTTATGCTGATTCTTAATATGTATTCCGTTTTTGCTAAATGACAATCTGCTAGGAGTTACAAGCGTCTAAAGCTTTGTTAGGACTCTGAATAGGTCTTAGGAGTCTTAGGGACCAAATGGTCACTCCATTGGCGGTGGTCATTGGGTCTTAGGGCTCTTAGGGATCATTTGGGTCTCCTTGCGGACCGATTCGGTGCAGCTGTAGCCGAGTGATACGGCGTTCGTTTTCCTAGCGAGACCTCACGAGTTCGATCCCCGCTTAGCTTAGCTTTAGCTTTAGCTTTTTCTTCTTTTCAAGAAGTGCAGACTGATGTTCTTTGTCATTCCATCTGGGAATGTCATCTAGGCTGGTTCAGTCAGTTGTCAGCTCTTATGAATTCTCTTATGAGTCTAAAATTTCAGATGGCCGTGCAAGCATTTGCTGTAATCGCCTCAACTTCGGCGAAATTCGCGAAAGCTCTCTTCACGACTCCGTTCACTTTCTACCTTGGTTATACGACTTTTTGGCAGCTTCATTACGTGCTTTTATGGTTTGTCGACATCTAATAATATCATTAAATGATATCTAATGATATATAATGATATCTAATGAGATCTAATGATATCTAATGATATCTAATGATATCATTAAATTCATTAAAGCTTTCAGCTAAACGCATTCATCATTAAAGCTTTAATTACAATAGAACTACAAAGATTAGAAATCAAAGCAGAGACTTCAAAAATCCCCTCAGGTAAACACATTTTACGGGCAATTTCGCATATCTAATCTGGGTGGTAAATATTTGGACCGTTCGCAGAAACGCAAAATTTTCCCACAAAGTATAATACGTGAATTTATGGAGCGCTTTTGGGAGTTTAGTTGACTGAATTGGGGAAGATGCTTCCTCTTTTTGTAGCCTTCTATCTGCCCGACCAACATGTCTGTGTGGCTCAGTGGGTAGAGGTCCTATCTGGAGGGAGGTCTTCGAGGGTTCGATTCCCCTCGGGTCCTCTTTCGTTACCAAAATTTTTGCTGCTGCTCTACCTATTGAGCCACAGGCACTTGTCGTTCGAGCGAAAGGTAAAAAAAGAAAAACGGAGAGGGAAAGGGAGTAAAAAAAAGGATTTTCTCAGTGCATAGAATTTTGATTCACAACTTTGGTTCCATCGCTTTTGATAAATAGTGAAAGATAAGTAAAGTATCAAATTTCTATCGAATTCGATTTTAGTATGTCTTACACATTTCTCCTTCGAGATCCGAAGCCAAAATCCGATCCAACTGGTGTGAAAGTGTCAAGTTTAAGCAAGTAATTTGCTATAAAACAGTCAATAAATATTGAAGCCAATTTTCCGTCAATAATCTGCATAAAACAGTCAATAATCTGCATAAAAGAGTCAATAAATTTTATTACAACAATGAGCTTTTCATTAGTATTTATAATTGAAAAGCTTTAATGAAAAGAAAGAAAAAATCAATGAATAAGCTCGTTTTTCCATTGCACAAGTCATCGTGTAATCTTTAGGCAATTTGTTAACTAAAACCCTGTGATCAGTTAATATTAATATATTAGAATATTAACACGTTGACGACAATGGCATTTTTGCACAAACAATCGCATGGGACAACGTTGTTTGTCACCATGACATCAGGAAATGTCACCATGACATCAGGAAATGTCACCATGACATCAGGAAATGTCACCTGACATCAGGAAATGTCACCATGACATCAGGAAATGTCACCATGACATCAGGAAATGTCACCTGACATCAGGAAATGTCACCTGACATCAGGTCAATGTCCCACAGAGTTCTTTTTTTTCAAACTTAAAATTTTTGTGAAAGTTTAAAATGATTATTTGATAATTATGAAATAACAATAATCTAGAAAGTTTTATTCATTGGTGATGTTTCTAAGTAGGAGATAACTAGCACCAACTTTTGCAGGGCCTAGAACTCGCGTATTGATCAGGTGACAATGTCCCAGGCGAACGAATATGTGTCAGACAGCATCAGGTGACAATGTCGTCAACGTGTTAATATTCTTATATATTAATATTCTTATATATTAATATCCTTATATATTAAATACCTATCAATTTTTCGTTCCAAGACAAATTTCTGTTCAATAGACTGTATTCGTATGGAGTGAAAGGCGGATATTTCGGGATACAATCAAGCAACGATTTGTTCACTGTTTCTATGTCTTTGTTACAGTAATCCTCTGCGCAAATCGATATTGTTATCCAGTTTGGCAATGTGTAGATTCCCGTCTGGAAAAGGAGTACAAAATTGGATAGAAAAAGTAGTGATAGCTTGAGTCATCAGTCTTGAGAAGTCACCTCAATTCTCCCTTCCGCAAATCGCCAATCTTGGAAGAAACAACCGCGACGAAAAAGTGATCCATCCTGAAGGTTTGTTTTCTTTTTTGTTTTCGTTTTCTTCTTACCGATTGATTTATGATTTGTAAGCATGCTTGTCCGATGCATTGTTGGGCAGTGATCAGTTCAGCTGAATGGCAACTTAATCTTATTTCAGTTTTAACACAGTATAGCGCTTTCAACTTCAACTTCAACTTCAACTTCAACAAAGAACTTGAACCTTGTTGGTGTTGATATATTGTTTGAGCAATCTTTTGTATTACACTGTAAGAAGTAAAGGAATTGGCAAGAAAAAGTCGATTTCCGAGGATTGAACCCTCGGCCCTCGACCGGCGAAAAGGACTTTTACCGTATGTGCTTTCGTTTGGTTTGTTTTTTTGTTTGTTTTCCAGGCAATTGCTCTAACCACTGAGCTATTCGGTACTTTAACTTGGCAAGAGGAAAAGGGATAGACAAGAGGGAAGAAGAAAGGAAGAAAGAAAGAAAGAAGCAATGATTTGATTCGTTAGTTAAGATGTACTAGTTGTACTAGATGTACTAGATGTACTAGATGAGAAAGGAGAAAGAAAGACAGCAGTAACCTGGCACTGACCGCAGTAACCTTTCTCTTTTACTAGCCTTCTTTCTCCCTCCACAAACAAGCGACGGTAGCTCAGTGGATAGAGCCTCTGTCTGGGAGCCGGATTTTGAAGGAGGTCGAGGGTTCGATTCCCCTCGGGTCCTCATTCTTTGCTAAATTTTTTCGAAATGAAAAATGAAAATGGAAATCAATATTTTCAAATGAACTCACAACTATTTTCGCTGTAATAACAAGTGACTTGCTTTTCTCTCAGGAAATCGATCGATCTATTGTTGCACAGATCCTAAATTTTGTTTTAAGCGCAATTTGAAGCCTTGCGGATCTAGGATTTAAAGTTATCGGACATCCGATCCCGCCTCTTCTGGCATAACTTTAAGCTCAAATTTCTTGGTGTTGAGCTGTTCAATTTCAATATTCTTGGTATCATTAGATGCGCCAAGTCTTTCTCTATCGATTGGTAGAAAAACTATTTAAATTGGACAGTCCAACACCAAGAAATTTGAGCTTAAAGTTATGCCAATGGTAAATGTCCGACAATCAAAATTGAAAGCTCAAACCCAATCGCAAGTCATTGAGAAATCAATTTGATCGCTGAATTGATAACCATAAAAAGCACCATTGTAAATTCTAAAAATATTTCTTTATTTTTGCCGAAAGAACATACGGTAAAAGTCCTTTTTGTACAAAGTTATTGATTCCAAAAAAAATGTTGTTTGCCCCCGCCGGCATCTCCATTCCATTCAACTGAATCCAAAGTGTTATCGGATTTGTTGATCTGAAAGAGTTGAATGGCTTTGGAGTAACGAGGCTACGGACGGCAATTAGACTTAGATTGATATTAGGAATCTGGCTATGAGATTTAGATGGATTGATAGTGCAACCGATCCTTCGGGATAGCGTCGACTCTATCCCGAAGGATCGGGTGAATGTTGCCTCGTTACGTCGACTCTATCCTTTTCGACTCTATCCGTTTCGACTTTCACGCACTCTTTAACTCTCTCTTCAAAGTCGTTTGCAACTTTCCCTCACGGTACTTGTTTGCTATCGGTCTCGTAGCCATATTTAGCCTTAGATGAAGTTTACCACCCACTTAAGGCTGCGTTCTCAGGCAACCTAGTAAAGTAAAGGGTTCTAGTAAATCTAGAACCCTAGATTTAGACTCAAAACTCAAAATTCTAGACTCAAATCGATTTGAAAATTTTCATCTCACCTGAGCTTTACCCCAAATCCCGCAAAATGTCCCTTTGGTGTTTGGTGTTTCTGAGTTGATGTGTTGAGTAGCATTGTGCTTTTGTTGATACTAGATTTACAGATTGATCAAGATTGAATTCTTGATTCAAACCTGGTACTTGAAACATCTTGTTGAATTGAATCGGATCTTCAAAGGAACGATTTGACCGGCAAAAGAAATGATCTCATCGTCAAAGGTTGTATTTCTAAAGAAGTACAACAGAATGGAAACTGGCTATGAGATTTAGACTGATATTAGGGTTTTAGGACATCTTTGGACAAGTTTTTATGTTTTGAATTTTGTCTGTAAAAAGGATCTTTACGGACAACGACGGGAATAGCGATTATCGGCTGGAATAAGACCAATTTATTGCTTTATTGCTTCCGGAAGCAAAAATAATATCGGATGAATGAAAGGCAGACAAACTACACCTTCAACTTCAACCATTCGATCAATTCGATCAATTCGATCAATCCTAACAATTCTGGCATTACCCAGATGGACCTGGAATGACCTGGCATTACCCAGATGGACCTGGAATGACCTGGCATTACCCAGATGGACCTGGAATGACTTGGCATTACCCAGCTGGACCTGGAATGACCTGGCATTACCCAGATGGACCTGGAATGACCTGGCATTACCCAGATGGACCTGGAATGACTTGGCATTACCCAGCTGGACCTGGAATGACCTGGCATTACCCAGATGGACCTGGAATGACCTGGAATGACCTGGCATTACCCAGATGGACCTGGAATGACCTGGAATGACCTGGCATTACCCAGATGGACCTGGAATGGCCTGGCATTACCCAACTGGAATGACCCCACACTTTGTCTTCGAAGATTCATCCCCAGAACGGAAATTAACAAGCCAGTTTGCCAGTCCGTAGTGGAGCTGATCCTTCCACATAAATATCCTCAAAATTAGCTGAACACTAGAGTCCCTTGTGTTCTTGTAGAAATTCGTACAACATAACGTGTCGCAGATCTCCAGGTGATCGATTTTTAATAGTTAGAACAAAGTCAAGTAAAATTATATAAACGAAAAATGTGGAAAGTGAAAGTCCATTGTTTTCGCAAGAGTGTTCACTTACCGTAAATTTTGTTTTATTTATGAGTTTTAACACAGCCTACCTGCCTTTCTTGACATTTTCTATTTAGACGTCAACCACTCCAACCACTCCACCCACGCCACCAACCTCAACTACTTCATACGACCTTAGCAGCAAGGCGGTGGTTACAAACTTTTTGCTTACCGTAAATACTGTAATAGTACCCAACCCCCTCGTACAGTCGCGTAGTCGCAAAAGTTTTTTAGTATTTCATTTTTTTCAAAGCACCCGTACTTTCAAAAAATGCGTCTTTGGTATCAAAAAATAGCTGAAATTCAGGGCTATTTTTTGATACCTAAACGAGCATTGTAGCATAAACCAGTGTCGAGAAAAACTCGTTCAAAGCTCGACTACGCAACACTTCACACTGTCATTATGGGGGTGGGGTACTATTACTACTTACGGTGCCTATTTTCCACAAGCCTCTCGCCCTCATTTTTGTTTACATCTATGAGATTTAATTTGAAAAAAACGTTGCACAACCCAATAATCTTTTTGCGTGGCTATTGAGCGTTTAAACTGTTGCTTAAACGTTTGTTAAACTATTGTAAACTGATGTTTGTATTTAATGTTTATTTTGCGTTCGGTTACGATTCAAAGCTGACTCGGTCCTCATTCGGTTACGATTCAAGGCTGACTCGGTTCTCATTCGGTTACGATTCTAGTCTTATTCGGTCCTCATTCGGTTCATTTACCTACTTTCGAGACCTAGTTAGAACAGTGTGAACGAATCAGCGCCGTCCATTTCAGCGCCGTCCATTTCAGCGCCGTCCATTTCAGCGCCGTCCATTTCAGCGCCGTCCATTTCAGCGCCGTCCATTTCAGCGCCGTCCATTTCAGCGCCGTCCATTTCAGCGCCGTCCATTTCAGCGCCGTCCATTTCAGCGCCGTTTATTTTAAATGTTCACTTACCTATTTTCCACAAGCCCCTCTTCCTCATTTTTGTTTACTATGGGATTTAATTTGAAAAAACGTGCCAAATCTTGCACAACCCAATAATCTTTTTGCGAGGCTATTGAGCGTTTAAACTATTGTAAACTGATGTTTGTATTTGATGTTTATTTTGCGTTAATGTGTTTGTTGAGCTATTGATCGATGTGTTCAATCAAGCGTTGAAGCTACGAACATAAATTGAAGAAATATTGCTTAAAAATAGCTAAATTGGTTGAATATAATGCTTTTTTTTGCTTATCCCGCCAATAATCGTACAAGAAATCATTCCCACCGATAACCACTATTTCTGCTGTTCTTTCAATCCTTCAAATCCTTCAAAAGCTTCAAGAGATTCTTCAAAAGATGCTTTAAAAGCTTCTTTTAAAGCTCCTTCAAAAGCTCCTTCAAAAGCTTCTTCAAATCCTTCAAGAGATTCTTCAAAAGCTCCTTCGAAAGCTCCTTCAAAAGCTTCTTTAAAAGCTCCTTCAAAAGCTCCTTCAAAAGCTCCTTCAAAAGCTTCTTCAAATTTTTCAAGAGATTCTTCAAAAGCTCCTTCGAAAGCTCCTTCGAAAGCTCCTTTAAAAGCTTCTTCAAAAGCTTCTTCAAAAGCTTCTTCAAATCCTTCAAGAGATTCTTTAAAAGCTTCTTCAAAAGCTCCTTCGAAAGCTCCTTCAAAAGCTTCTTCAAATTTTTCAAGAGATTCTTCAAAAGCTCCTTCGAAAGCTTCTTCAAAAGCTCCTTCGAAAGCTTCTTCAAAAGCTTCTTCAAAAGCTTCTTCAAAAGCTCCTTCAAATCCTTCAAAAGCTCCTTTAAAAGCTCCTTTAAAAGCTCCTTCAAAAGCTTCTTCAAATCCTTCAAGAGATTCTTCAAAAGCTTCTTCAAAAGCTCCTTCAAATCCTTCAAATCCTTCAAAAGCTCCTTTAAAAGCTTCTTCAAAAGCTCATAAACCTCTTTCAAAAGTAAATTTACAATTTTTTGAGAGAAGAGATCGATCGAGGCAGTGTGAAGGAATCAGCTGGAGGGATTGGTTCATTGCAAAGACTGTAAGAGAGTAGTGATTGTGTATAATGTTTTGTAAATAGAAATATAGAAACCCAGCTTTTCTAGGACATTAGAAACGTGCTCAAGGTGCTCAAGGAAGGGCACATTTCCACCGTTCCGACGACACGCGACAACTTACTTGCAAGCGCAAAAGAACGTTTGATCTTTGCGCTTCGATAGATCATTTCCAAAATCAAAATAGCAACCAGGTTGTAAATATTTCATTCCATTTACACAAAATTGATATCGTTTTCGTCCGTCGAAGGAAAAAGCAGAATAGCACATCTCACCATCGCATGAGCCCAAATCTCTAAATCTCTTTGCGTCAAGAATCCAAAATGAAATTGAATTAAATAAATCAAATCTCTATCTAGGCTTACCGTATGCAAAATGACGCAATTCTAATAATGTAAATTTCCTTTTAACTCACGTTATTTACCATTAAACTTACGTTAATGGTATCCCATTGTCGTTATCTTGAAATATGCTTGTGCAAAGCATTGCAAAGCAGTAAAAAAGTGACTCGAATAGGGAAATTGTTGTAAAGAAAGAGCTCAATTTCATGAATACTCTCAAAAAGTCAAAGAATTCTATAGAAAATCTATGATTGCTTGCAATTTACTTGCAAAATTCCAAGTTTATAGCTGATTTTTGAATGGCGTTTTAGTATGGCGTTTTGTATGGCGTTTTTTTTGAGTAAACAACCTTCCGATTGAATTCATTTGTCTTGTTTTCTGAAAACATTCGTGTCTTTCTTCAAAGAATTCAATTATCGGTGGTGTTTTTTGGAATTTTTGTTCTTGTAAGAAATATATTTATACTTTGATCTTTAGAATTTCTTGTGAGACCGTGTCTCGGCGTGGTTTAATGGTAGATGTCTTGAAAATGCACAATAGATAAAAGGAGACAAATGTGTAGACCTATTATGTTGGCAAGAAAGCCTTTGCACAACTTTGAACCGAAATTTCTTAAAAACGAATCCACTAATTCAAGAACAATTTGTTCTATTATTTACAAGGGGACTCCAAGAAATTATTTGTAAAAAAATGAGTTCAGATTTTCCTTTAAACTTTCTCTATTTTAGATTTTAAATGGGATCCATTACATATGGATTAACTCATTGAAAACTTGTGTAAAGGCTAGTCAAAAAGTGACTAGCCTTTAGACAAGAGTCAAGCCTTTAGACAAGAGTCAAGCCTTTAGACAAGAGTCAAGCCTTTTGACAAGAGTCAAGCCTTTAGACAAGAGTCAAGCCTTTAGACAAGAATGAAGCCTTTAGACAAGAGTCAAGCCTTTTGACAAGAATGAAGCCTTTAGACAAGAGTCAAGCCTTTTGACAAGAGTCACTTTAGCTGAAGAAATCTCTGATTATTTGTCAAATACTTTTTAAAATATAGTCAAGTTTATCAAAGAAAAAAGTTTAGAAAGAATTAATGGCTTGCTTTTTGAGAAATCATTGTGCAAACTTTTTCTACAAACTTTCTTGCCAAACTAATAGCAATTTCCAGAATAACTCCTTTATCAGTGGATGTTTCTGGCAAGATTACACTCATTCGGAGGGAAGAATCGAGGTGAATGATCTCTTTCTTTCAAATACTCCCTTATATTCACTTGCTAAAACTCTGCGTGATTTATCTCGATTCGAAACATCTGAGTTTTTTTGCACAAAGTTGATCAACTTGAACGGTCTATAACCCGTGATATGGGGATTGTATCGACTTGTAATTGCTTTTAAAAGAATCCTCATTAAATTTGACTAAAGAAAAGTAGAATTTGTTTTGTATACTCATGTATAAGAACATAGAGAAAAGTTGTATTAAAGCTGAACTACTTTATCTACCTACTTGCCTACTACTTAGCTCCTCAACTACTAGAATAATTTTTCGTCGGTAAAAAGCGTCATCAGATGCTCATCATTTGCGGCCCTTGCAAGAAGAAGAGCACATTTTTCCTTCCTGTTTCTCATTTGATCTCTTTCTATTGAAATACTCTACAGGGTGCGTCATAATTATTGCAACAAGATACTTAAGGCATTGCTACTCTACTCTAGACCACCAAGAGGTTTCACTGGAAGAAGATTTTTAAACAGAAATAGCTTTATTTAACAGTAACAAATAAGGAAACAAGAGAACATTCGATATGACCGCCTTTTGCCTTGATAACAGCCCTTAATCGGTTCGGATTTGCCTCCACTGCGGCCCGAATGTCATCTTGAGGAGTCGCCTTCCATTCTTTGGTCAAAGACTTCTTCAAAGAATCCAAACTTGTGTGTTTTCGAGAGCAGACATTAGCCTCTAAGATTGCCCAAATGGAAAAGTCCATCACATTGAGATCCGGTGAGTTTAGAGGCCATTCATCCTTGGTGATCACTGAGGGAAAGTTGGCCACACACCAGTCCTGAACCGTCTTCTTCTTCCTGGAGGCCATTCATCCTTGGTGATCACTGAGGGAAAGTTGGCCACACATCAGTTCTGAACCGTCTTCTTCGTGTGAGCGGGAGCTCCATCTTGCATAAAGGTCCAATTTTGATTGTTATTGGCTTTGCACGCCCATGACATCTCCGTTTTCCTGTTTGAAAAACGGTCTTTGAACTCTTGTTGCAATAATTATGACGCACCCTGTATGTTATTTGCTTGCTAAAACTCTGCGAGGTTTATCTCGCTTCAAACAACTAATTTTTCTCACAAATCTCCTCAACTACACCCAAAGACTAACCAAAAAACAAACTCTAAAGATTTTGGACAATATTTAAACATATTTAAAACGCTTTAGAGTATTACTAGTCTACTAAAAGTCTCCGTAAAAGAGGAAACAATAATTTCTAAATTGAAATGAAATGAATGAAAGAATAAAATGATGAATCCACAAAATAGAGAACCGGTACGATAACACAAGCAACTTGTACCAAAAAAAATACTAATAAATAGGCTGGTTTCTTTGTAATCTTGACAAGAATTGGACATGTGTCAGTGTAACTCATTGATAGGATGTTTGCCCGGTAAGCGAAAGGTCGTGGGTTCGAATCCCAGCGCCGACCTAAGCCCAAGCTCAACTCTATGAAAGGATCGGCATCGAACTCCTCTTTTCAGGCTGGTTTCTATTCAATCTCCTCTTCATCGTATCTAATCGTTTGTGCAACGAATTACTGTAATCAGGATCCAAAGACAACAAATTTTTCAATTAAAAACTTTTCTTCTAGTAAATTTTATGAATCATTTACTCCTTATTCAAAAGCTTTACTTACAAATCAAGATCTTTTATGGAAAAAGGAAATATCAGAGAAAGGAGGGAATTTGGGAAATCTTAAAAGAATTTATTTTCATATTTTATTCATACTGTGCATTATATTTGCTTATAAATGCTCTTTTTGCTTGCTCTTTTTCGTCAAAATTATTTTTAGACATCAATTTTGATAAACTCTTCGAGCAATTCGTGTAAACAATCAAATTGAGACTAATCGACAAACAGAAGAACTTGAATTCTATTGAAAATAAGACATTCAATGTTCTTTGTTTTCAAAAACAAATCTCACAATGAGTCCCGACAAAACTAATCAAAAATCTAAAAGATCAGAAGAAGTAAACAAGAAAGACAAATCTGAGAGGTACAATTTTATTGTTTTACAGTTTTATTGTTTTACAGTTAAGCAAAACTGTACCTTTGAGTATTGCTAGGCTGCTAAAAGTCACTTAAAATAGGAAACGAAAGGAAACGTCTTGCTTTATTCAATGTTTTTTATAGTATTGATTTTAATTTTGGCTAAAATTAGTCAATCAATTAATTGTGTGCAATATTTGCATTCACCATATGTGGAAAAGACGCCAAAGAAAGCGAAATCATCGTGAGTTTCTAAAATTTTCTAAAAGATTGTAAGCTTTCCAAAAACTACCGTAATCTTGTCTTTAGTTATCCGTAATCAATGTAAACTACCGTAACCTTATCTTTAGTTAGTCTTTAGTCTTCCGTAACCAATGTAAACTACCGTAATCCGTAACCAAATCTATTTCTCTTTACTTAAAGGGGGGTATTAATCGCGGCCGGGTGACGATAAAAATTTTTTTACGGCAACCACCTGTTTTTTTGTTTTAATATCGCTGATTTTATTATAAAAAGAATAAAAATCACCCGGCTAGAGTGATTTGATGGGTTTACAAATTTTTGGAGACACTGCAAGGCTTGGAGGAAAACAAGATCGTCACTCATCAGACACCTCAGCTAAAAGGCACCTATTTGAGAAAACTAAAACCATAAGCGACCACAAATGAAAAAAGATCTAATTGTGTCAATCAAAGCGCTGAAGACGTCCTACGATGGAGGAGATCCAGTCACTTTTGGTGAAGATGCGCTGGAAATTGATAAGATAGGAAGCCGATTTGTACTGCTGTACTTGAGCCGAACTGCTGTACTTGAGCGAAGATGAAAGTGAGCAAGAGGAAGAATTATAGATTAACAATTTATTTTTATTACTTTTTGTGCTTTTTATTTTGTTTTTAAATTTATCTGCAACTAAAACTCAATCGATCTAGACTGTGCTGAGGTGTCTGATGAGTGACGATCTTGTTTTCCTCCAAGCCTTGCAGCATCTCCAAAAATTTGTAAACCCATCAAATCACTCTAGCCGGGTGATTTTTATTCTTTTTATAATAAAATCAGCGATATTAAAATAAAAAAACAGGTGGTTGCCGTAAAAAAATTTTAATCGTCACCCGGCCGCGATTAATACCCCCTTTAAGGAAAAGCCAGGATAGTTTAGATGTCCTAGCCGCTAACGAAATTCAGCCGCTAACGAATGAGGGTATTTCCGGGCATCCAATCAAAAAGTCACCCACATAAAAAATGTTCATAATACATATATTTTATAATAAATTTTTGAAATTAGCTCATTTGGTTCAGTAGAAAATTTTTTTTGAGCCCCCAAAGTTTAGATTCAAAAATGCCCTGAAATGGCTATAAAAAATTTCTACTCAGCCAAAAAACTTGCCTAATAGCTCATTTTGTAGCCAATTTGATGTAGTTTCTTAAAGTAAAGCCATCTAAAACTATTTTTCGTTGAAAGTAGGAGAAAGAGGGCGAGGAACAAATTCAGGGCAATTCTCAAATGTGAAAACAGCGACCGAGTTCAACTGAAGTCGTTCCTCACCCTCTTTCTCCTAGCTTTGAAAAACAAATGTTCAATGTAGCTTTACTTTAAGAAACTACATCAAATTGGCTACAAAATGAGCTATTAGGCAAGTTTTTTGGCTGAGTAGAAATTTTTTTATAGCCATTTCAGGGCATTTTTGAATCTAAACTTTGGGGGCTCAAAAAAAATTTTCTACTGAACCAGATGAGCTAACTTCAAAAATTTATTATAAAATATATGTATTATGAACATTTTTTATGTGGGTGACTTTTTGATTGGATGCCCGGAAATACCCTCATTCGTTAGCGGCTGAATTTCGTTAGCGTTAGTTGACATATACAAGCTTGCACCAGCAATTGGCACCAAAGGAATGCTTTAAAAAGCCCCTTTTTAGCCTAGGAAATATGGCTTGGTGGCCTAGTGGTTAGCACGTTGGCTTTCCGTCCATAGGGTCAGGGTTCGCTCTCCACTGCAGCTTTTTGTTTTTGTTTTTCTTTTGAAGCTCTTCTTTGAAGCTCTAGCATTTTGGAGCTGATTGCATTATGTTTTTTTTCTTTCTTTTATTGTTTATACAATTTGCACCTATTCCTTACAAGTTTATATTAAAATCGAACATTTAAATGGAAACTAAAGTGCACTAGGTGTTTAGAGAAAAGTCCTTGCATTCCTAGGAAGGCTTTAGAGCTAGACCTGGGTTAGTCTAAAGTCAAGCAATGTCAAACAGTCAAACAGTCAAACAACAACAAAACAATTCAGTCTATAAAATAGATAAACCAGTGCCTTAACTTCTAATACTTAGATTACGGTAGTTTGTCTATATTTCTTTAGATTACGGGAGGATGAACGACGGAATTCGAGCTTTAAACAGCTTTAAAGAGTCCTCTTTTATGATTTTCACAATTTTAGCAATGACATCTGTGCTGGTGATCTTTGCTTTGCTTTCTACCGAAGTGTCGACAATTTGACGATTCATGGCTGTGTAAATGGAATGAAATATTATATTCCTGGTTGTTATTTTGAAGAGAACAATGTCACAATGAAAAGAACGAGTTTCTCTATCGATTACACATACTTTTGCCTATGCAAGTTGGATGAAAGAATGATTTTTTGCGAATTTCAATCATTCTGTTCAGTCACACAGCTATGTGCAACGAAAATGAATTTTTGCTAACGACTAGTGAGGAAATGGTCAAATTTGGAGATAATCGGTTGCCGGTGAAGTATTTGGTGAAGTCAGTTAAATGTCTCAAGTATCAGGTGAGTTTGAAGAGCTCATAAAGTACTGGACTAGTCTGGCTGGCTTGGAAGCCTGGCCTGGAAGCCTGGCCCGTAAAAAGGAACCGTATTGGAACCGTATTGGATCAATATTAGATCAAAAAAGGAACCGTATTGGAAGCCTGGCCTAGAAGCCTGGCCTAGAAGCCTGGCCTAGAAGCCTGGCCTAGAAGCCTGGCCTAGAAGCCTGGCCTAGAAGCCTGGCCTAGAAGCCTGGCCTAGAAGCCTGGCCTAGAAGCCTGGCCTAGAAGCCTGGCCTAGAAGCCTGGCCTAGAAGCCTGGCCTAGAAGCCTGGCCTAGAAGCCTGGCCTAGAAGCCTGGCCTAGAAGCCTGGCCTAGAAGCCTGGCCTAGAAGCCTGGCCTAGAAGCCTGGCCTAGAAGCCTGGCCTAGAAGCCTGGCCTAGAAGCCTGGCCTAGAAGCCTGGCCTAGAAGCCTGGCCTAGAAGCCTGGCCTAGAAGCCTGGCCTAGAAGCCTGGCCTGGAACGGAAAGACTTCCTGAACAGCTTACAGAGTGGTCAACAATTATAGAGCCTAGATTGGTCAAAATTAAGCGAATCATTCTGATTTTTCTGGAGATAAATCTTAAGTATATCTCTTAAAACCGTACCAATTATCTAATCGATTTAAGCTTTCAACTTTTTTATATAGCCTTTCAAAGTTGAGAGCCAAGTATTGCTTTTATGAGATTTTTGAGAGCAATCTTGTTAAAATCATAATGATGAGATTGAATTTATTATGTTAATAAATGAGATTTCAAATGTTCGACGCAGTTTAAGTGCAAAAATTCTTGAGAAATGTCACCAAAACTCATCAAACTAGGCTGTTTGAAGTGGGGCGCTATAATTGTTGGCAATAGCAATAGTAGTTAGTCAATTCCAGTCATTAATAGGCAACCAGCAATAGAAGTCAGTCATTTGCTAATTAATTTCAAACATTTCAGCTTACTCAATCGAGTAAAGGCCTCACAATTGTTGGGGCCAACGGTACCACCGAAGTTACATCGAAAGCTTGTTCATTAACAGGAAGTGCCACGGTGAGCTCGATTCAATATTTAACTTCAGTTATTGAATAGTTTAGATCCCCGTTCGTGATGGTTCATGGTCATCAGCTAAATGGACGGGTGAAATCATTCCTATGACATACAAGGAGTCATTGTTCATGCTTGAGGATTTGATCTCGAATCGGCAATTCTTTCCGTGAGCTCACTGCATAATTCTACGGTTCTAGAATTTTCTAGAGTTCTATTTGTAATTCTAGAATTGTAGAATTGTAGAATTATAGGATTTCTAGAATTCTAATTGCAATTTTAGATTTCTAGACTTCTAAATAATTCTGTGATTCTAGAATTTACAATGGAGGTCTATATGCTTGGCAAATCTCGCAATATGACATCAGCGTCCTAATGCATTGTGATTGGGTAAAGATTACTGTAACAGGAGTACTGTATCATTGTAACAAGATTACTGTATCAATTCTAGGATTCCTGTATCAATTCTAGGATTACTGCATCAATTCTAGGATTCCTGTATCAATTCTAGGATTACTGTATCATGTCTAGGATTACTGTAACAATTCTAGGACTACTGTATCAATTCTAGGACTACTGTAACAATGTGACCTCATTAACATCACTTCTCAATCAACAAACCGTCGAATGCTATTCGAGTTTAAACAGTGGCGGGAGTACAACCTCTCAACCAATTTCTAATCAATTTAAAATCTAGATACGATCAATTGCAGGGCACAGGCTTGTTTTTTAATCTATTTCTCGGAAGTGAGTTAAAAATGTCTTTTATTTTGTCTTTTATTGTGATTTTACAGGAAATGGCTTACCTTTTGGGATGTTTTTGGCAAGATTCGAGTAAAGCACAAGGACGGATCGAGGTAACAAGACACTGTTTATAATGAATAAAATTGGTTGTTTGCACGAGGATTGTTTCCTCTCCAATCTTTTCCAAAGGATTGTTTCCTCTCCAATCGAGCGGAGGTGCTTTCTCCTTAAGATGCGGAGATGCTTTGATCGTGATATCTGATCAAAATCAACAAACTTTTTCCCAAAATTCACGTGCAATCATCTGACCAAACAACTTGAAAATAATAGTTTTATTCAATTGAAGGAGAGATACAAGAAGTGTGTCTCCATCAAATGAATGAAAAAGAGATCATAGAACAGTCTTTAACAGTCTTTAACAGTCTTTAAATCTAGCTTTAGCGTTATTTTCCTTCCTAGGTATAAATGTGGACTAGAATTTGGGTTAAGTTAAAGAGAGTGGATCCCTTTTGATATCCCGCCATCTCTAACACCCCGACAACCCAACTCAACTCTTTCAACGTATTAGAGGGGAGTCCCTGTGAAATGACCGACCTGTACTGCAGTTGCATAGATATGTATCTTCATTTACAGTAGTATAATAAGACGAATAGATTACAAATAAGTGTAAGGGGAAGGGGGGACTCCAAGTGATGCAGCCATTTTGAAGAATTCGCTGGTTCTATCGTTTCCGGATAACTTGCACAGCTTGAAAAACATCTAGCGCGCTAAGTTTCCAACTAAATAGTTTTTGTACGCGCCCGCTTGAAGAAAACGATGCTTTTGCAGCTCTCAAAGTCGTAGTAGTACAATAAGACGAATAGATTACAAATAAGTGTAAGGGGACGGGGGGACTCCAAATGAGAGTCTCACTTGTCCTCCTAGGCTCCTCACTGTCCTTCTAGGCTCCTCACTGTCCTTCTAGGCTCCTCACTTGTCCTCCTAGGCTCCTCACTGTCCTTCTAGGCTCCTCACTGTCCTTCTAGGCTCCTCACTTGTCCTCCTAGGCTTAGGCTTAGGCGTCCAAATGAGAGTCTCACTTGTCCTCCTAGGCAATCCCAAGGATTACCCCTTCTCGGCAATAAAAGGGATAAGCACAGGGGAGGACACATTTGCATAAGAATAGACAAATTATTCAATAGTAACAATAGTAACTAAAATATCAGAGCTGACAGTTATCTCTTTTCTTAATCTTCTTAAAGAAAAAAGAAAGCTTTCAAGAAACTTTTCACACTTTACAAGAAGTGTATCTCCATCAAATGAATGAAAAAGAGATCATAGAACAGTCTTTAACAGTCTTTAAATCCAGCTTTAGCGTTATCTCTTTTCTTAGTGTTCTTAAAGAAAAAAGAAAGCTTTCAAGAAACTTTTCACACTTTACAAGAAGTGTATCTCCTTTATATGAATGAAAAAAAGAGATACAACAAAGACAATAAAGCAAACAACGTTAAAGATATCGAAACAATCAATACCTTATCAATAAGCAATACCTTTTGTATTGCCAATTTTTGTCTAGAGCATTTAGTCAATAAACGAGCTAAATGCTCTACACGAAGCAATACAAAAGGTAATTGTTTACGAGAAAAATGGCCGCAAAATGAGAGCACCGACTGTACATGACAATACAAACAACGACGTGCCGTCTTTGGGTGTGGCAGTCTTTGTGCTCTCACTTTGCCGTCATTTTTCTCGTACTAAACAAGAGTTTTACCAAAAGTTTTTTTATACGATCGTTATATGTCTTTTATACGTCTTTTATAGCCAATAAACGAGCTAAATGCTCTACACGAAAATTGGCAATTGCTAATTGATTGTTTCTTCTCCGAAATTTGAATTTGGTGTCGAAGATTCGGCACACTGTTACAAGATTACAAATCTAACCCTAAACACTTCTCGAATTAAGGTTGGGAGGATTCAAATCACTCCCAAATTCTACATGATACTTTGCGCGGAAAACTTCTGCAATCAAAATCCCGCTGCCGCTGCAACATCAATTCGCAATTTCAATTCATCACTTCAAAGCCTTTTTCCATTCGTTCAATGGCCACAATCTATTCTGGATAAATCTGATAGTTGGAGATGATTTCTTTTTACTTTTTACAGCTTTTTAGCGACCACTTCATCATCTGCATCTTCTGCCCAATCGACTGAAGGTCCAATCGACTCCACCACTTTCGACTCTTTCTCCACTCAACCGCAACCGATTTCTCATCAGAAAAAGGCCTCTAATTGTACAATTGTTGGATCTATTTTGTTTTATTTTGTTATACTAGTCAAATTCTTGTTATAATTATTCTAATTCGAAGGTCCAATCGACTCCACCGCTTTCGACTCTTTCTTAGAATATTCTTGAGTTCTGGAGGGCACAGTGGCTCGTCAATTCGTCAATTTTTCGTCAATTATCTGCGAAACTCAACCACAACCGATTTCTCATCAGAAAAAGGCCTCCAATTGTACAATTGTTAGATCTATTTTGTTTTATTTTGTTATACTAGTCAAATTCTTGTTATAACTATTCTAATTCGAAGGTCCAATCAACTCCACCGCTTTCGACTCTTTCTTCACTCAACCACAACCGATTTCTCACCAGAAAAAGGCCGCCAATTGTACAATTGTTGGATCTATTTTGTTTTATTTTGTTATACTAGTCAAATTCTTGTTATAATTATTCTAATAACCTGTGCAAAAAGTTCATTCTTTTCTATTCATACTTTCGTTGAAAAATAAGAAATTCACCAATTTGCTCTAAATAAAAAAAGCTTAAGCTTAGGTTTTCTCTAAATAAAAAGTGTTTATTGTTGAATTTTCGACCTTTTTAAGTCAATTTGGGTTCACTTTCAAGCAAATTCGAGAGTGTTTTTCGGGTTTTTCGCAAAAAATCTTTCAAAAACTCTACAAAGAGATTGGCTGAATGAATTTCTCTGAAAATTTGGCTATATACAAAACTTTTTATGCTCTACCTTTTATCTATTGACACAAAGATAGGTTTCTTTGGATCAAAGTGTCTAAACTGAATCATCGAGCCGCATTTTTGACTATCCGACTTTATGCTTCAAAAAAGAGCCCTTGAAAGCCCAGGCCTTGAAAATAGAATATTCTTGAGTTCTGGAGGGCACAGTGGCTCGTCAATTCGTCAATTTTTCGTCAATTATCTGCGAAATAGAGAACAGTTTCTAATAGAAGGATTAAGGATCAAAATCGAATTGAATTGACTATCCGACTTTATTCTCCAAAAAAATCCAGAAATAAGCCATTTTAAACCCGTTTTAATGCGATTTTGCAGAGAACTAATTGCATTTTCTAATGAAAAAAATCGTACCGTAAATACTGTAATATGGACCCCACCCCATAATGACAGTGTGAAGTGTTGCGTAGTCTAGCTTTGAACGAGTTTTTCTCGACACTGGTTTATGCTACAATGCTCGTTTAGGTATCAAAAAATAGCCCTGAATCTCAGCTATTTTTTGATACCAAAGACGAATTTTTTGAAAGTACGGGCGCTTTGAAAAAAATGAAATACTAAAAAACTTTTGCGACTACGCGACTGTACGAGGGGGTGGGGTACTATTACAGTATTTACGGTAGTTCAATTGGTGCATTTATTCGTTTTAAACGGAAGAACGAAAAGGAATGAAAAGACTTTCTGGAAAGCTTAATAGCTGAAAATGATGATAGCCGAATTTGAATCAAGTTTTTATTGGTTTAAAAGTAAATAAAACTCGGTAAACCCCTGTATAGACTATCCTTTTATACAACAAATATTAAAAAAGGTATATTTATTCGCCACGGATTGCATTGCAACAAAACGGAGGAGATTTTAATCCCTAGTTACCCCTATTATCCAAATGTTGTTAAGAAAAAAAAACCCATAATGAGAAAAAGAATCAATCTTTCTAGGCGCTGGGATCGAACCCTTGACCCCCGAATAGGAGACAAGACTCCTATCCGGTTGGCTACGATGTTAGTTAAAAGATTCTGCTTTCTTTGTATTGTTCCATAAAAAAGAGATTTTGAATTTCATTTATTTTCATAGAGCATAGAGCAACCTCCCGACTTTTTGTTCCACTTTTTAAGATAGATAAAGAAGGGGCAACGTCCGGAGAATATGAGGAATGATATTCTAGTGTAGGTTGTCCATTCATGAGGATGATATTCTTCATTCCTCCTGAATTTGCTGATGCAAAGCAAAGTTACGGTAGCTTATCCTTTGTGGCTAGGAAGCTGAATGATTTCCCCTTTACTATAAAAATCGATTAATGATTGAGTGCCGTTAAGGATTGAGTGCAGATTGAATGCTGATCCTGATTTTTCTGTACCCTGATCAGGCCCTAGTCTTGGCTTGACCCTGAGCTAACCCTGGTTTAGATCTGAGGCCTGGTCTGACCCTGAGCTAACCCTGGTTTAGATCTGAGGCGCTTTTTAGAAAACGCGTTATCTGCAAGGAACACACTCTAGTACGGACCAACCGGGCATTTGATTAGATTTTCGAGTTCATAAAAAGCGCTCTAAAAAATCGGCTTAAAAGGAGAGGCTCAAAACTTGTAAATTGTATGCTAGTTTGGCGGTGATCACCATTTCAGCAGCTAATTTTTACATCATTGGAATCAGCGTAAAATTCTGCATCAAATGATCATCGGAAAAGTCCATGGGATCTAATCATTCTTCACTTGTGAGAGCAAACCCAAGTGGCAAGTTCAAGCGCTGGCAAAGCTCGAGAGCCAGTAGCTTATCCTTGGCGCGCGCTTTTTAGAAAACGCGTTGTCTGCACGGAACACACTCTAATCGTTATCTATAAGATCTCTCGAACGTTGCAATCTCCTGTCATCTCTAGTTCTCTCAATTTCTTTTCTTTTTCTCTATACTTAATCGAAAACTATTTCATTCTGAAGATTTTAATATTTTTAACAGCTCAATGTTTTGTTTGTTCTTTAAAACCCTAAATTAAGCTAATAAACAAGCTGGTTTTTGGTTGTCGAATTCCGAGAGAATTCCATTAAGTTGTTTGTTTTGATTTCTCAGGTTTCGTACTCAACACTCAACACAAAATCATTCAAAAATCATGCTCACTTTGTTTTTTATATTTTCTTTTCAAATAAAAGCTTTTTCTTTAAAAAATGGTGAGTTTTAGAGTAAAGATTAAAGTGAAATTAACAAGTACAGTACAACAGTACAAATGGCTTTGAGTAGAGTTAGAATTGAGTAGAGTTAGAATTGTTGTGAGTTAGAATCTGATTATTGAGGAGAATCTCGTTGTTGAGTAGAATCTCTTTATTGAGTAGAATCTCTTTATTGAGTAGAATCTCTTTATTGAGTAGAATCTCTTTATTGAGTAGAATCTGATTATTGAGTAGAATCTCTTTATTGAGGAGAATCTCTTTATTGAGTAGAATCTCTTTTTTTTGATTTGTCTTCGCACTTAGGTGTTCCTATTTGCGCAGATCACAACCTGCTTCCACATTTCTCTGTCCCTTGCTATTGTCGTCCAGTGTTTTCTAGCTTGATTGTTCCTGGTTCGAAGTCTTCGACTTGCTGGTGCTGGTGGTGGTTGCACTCTAGTCATCCTTTCTCTGACCGTCTCTTCCACTCTTGTGCTCCACCTCGTTGCTGGTCTTCCGATGGGCCTCTTCTGTTCTCGTGGTATCCACTCTGTGATCCGTATCGTCCATCTGTCGTCTGTTCTTCTGGCTACGTGGCCGGCCCATCTGAGTCTTTTTCTCTCAATCACTTCCACTGGATCTCTGAGTCCCGAGAGCTGGCGCATATCCGTACTTCTTAGGTCTTGGTCGAGCTGCGTCTTCCTATTGTACCCAAGGAGGTAGAATCTCTTTATTGAGTAGAATCTCTTTATTGAGTAGAATCTGATTATTGAGTAGAATCTCTTTATTGAGGAGAATCTCGTTGTTGAGTAGAATCTCTTTATTGAGTAGAATCTCTTTATTGAGTAGAATCTGATTATTGATTAGAATCTCATTATTGAATAGAATCTGATTATTGAGTAGAATCTCTTTATTGAGTAGAATCTCATTATTTTAGATTCACTACAACAGATTGAAGCCACCGTTTTCTATAAGCTAAATGAAAAGGCAAAAACAGAGAAAGAAGTCTATCAAAGAATGCCAGAGGAAACTTATGCAACATTGGCTGAGAATTTTGTGAGTTACAGTTAGAGATACACTTCGGTTATCTAATTGCAAATCTTGTAATCTTTTCAAATCATCTATGACATTGGAAATTGAACTCGGCTTTAGGATGGCTCGTCCGATTATCCAGGTGTCACTTATGGACATCGAGTGAGTGAAGTGGGTGAAGATTTCGAATAGATTTCTTTCTTCTGTTTTCTAAAATGCTAAAACTGTTCTTTCGAATGTTAAAACTGTTCTGTTTATTTAATGCCAAGGTTTATTTATGATAATGTCCAACTTTAACTTAAACATACAGTACTGGACAATGAAATATCATATTTGAAAAACGATCGTCACTTTAACTCTGTAAAGTCTGTAACTCCCTTGTCTCGCGTCTCGCGTCTGTAACTCCCTTGTCTTTACCAACATCGGGATCAGCGTAAAATTCTGCGTCGGATGGTAGATGGCTCATTTGGCCACCTCAGCCTTGTGACCGTTTCTTCTGAGCTGATCCTTTTATGAGTTGAGGCTGGGAAATCAAAACGTGGTCGACGCCGGGATTCGAACCCGCGTTCGCCAGGTAATCGAGAGGCTTAGCGGGGGAACGCTTTACCAATCCCAACACCGACACGTATCCCATTGCCGATAGAATAGGGCCTTATGCTTTACTCACCTACAGTACTAGACAATGAAATATCATATTTGAAAAACGATCGTCACTTTCAACCACCCTCCAGCCTGTATTATAGACTGCATTACTATTTACAGACTACTATTACAGAAAATACGGTAAGAGCGTTTTTATGTTTCAATCTTCGACTACGACATAGACTTTGTCTTAAAGCTGGAGCTAGCTGGAGCTAGCTGTGGCTAGCTGGACAATAACTCAAGTTTAGGACGATTCAACCGATCCACAAGAAAGCTCGACTCATGGACATGAGGTACAGTCAAAGGTAACTTTAAAAAAATTACTTAATAATATATATTTAGTCTACCAATCTTCCATATCCATCTTCAAAAGCAACAAAAAAGAAACATTATTCAAATAATACCAAATCGCTAATGTTAACGAATACGAAACCACCGTCAATTGAATCGACAACAATTCAAGGAGCAAGTCAAAAAGATTTTCTAATAATTTCCTTTATACCATTTGTGTTTTTAATAAAATTTTAAACATTAAACTTTGATTTTAAACATTTTTAAACATTTAAAAACATTTATTCGTTCCTTTAACAGCCTTTAACAGCCTTTAAATCTAGCTTTAGCGTTAGATTCGTTCCTAGGTATAAACGGATGTGGACTAGAATTTGGATTAAGTTAAAGAGAGTGGATCCCTTTTGATATCCCGCCATCTCTAACGCCCCGACAACCCAACTCAACTCCTCCAACGTATTAGAGGGGAGTCCCTGTGAAATGACCGACCTGTACTGCAGTTGCACAGACCCGGAAGATATGTATCTTTATTTACAGTAGTATAATAAGACGAATAGATTACAAATAAGTGTAAGGGGAAGGGGGACTCCAAATGAGAGTCTCACTTGTCCTTCTAGGCTCCTCACTGTCCTTCTAGGCTCCTCACTTGTCCTCCTAGGCTTAGGCTTAGGCGTTCAAATGAGAGTCTCACTTGTCCTCCTAGGCAACCCCAAGGATTGCCCTTCTCGGCAATAAAAGGGATAAGCACAGGGGAGGACACATTTGCATAAGAATAGACAAATCATTCAATAATAACAATAGTAACTAAAATATCAGTTTGGCTCGGAGCTGACACATTTAAACAAATTTGAAACATTAAGCTTTGATTTTGTAAAGTAAAATGCTTTTAATTTGCATCCAATTGAATGACTAAATGGAAAATCGCATGGAAAATAACGACTCGGGGTTTAAGTTTAAACTTTTCTAAATTTCCAGAGCTAAAAATGAAATCAATCGTTCTAAACAATCAATGAAGTCTAGACTTGCTTAACGAGACAGATCAAAAAAATTGGGTCGCGCAACTTCAGGTGCTTGATCTAGCCAGCAGAGTCGGATTCTAATGAGCTTTCTTTTATTTAAAAGCCAAGATTTTAAGCTATCTAATGATATCAAATACTTAGATTTTTCTTTTGAAAAATTCGATCAAAAACCTTATCGAGAATTAAAAATACAATTTCTCGTCATCTCTTTAATTCTCGATAAGGTTTCTGATCCACTTTTTCAAAAGAAAAATATAATTGATGAATATCATTAGATAGCTTAAAATATTGGCTTTTAAATAAAAGAAAGCTCATTAGAATCTGATCCTTGGCTGGCTAGATGAAGCGCCTGAAGTTGCGCCTGAGGCGATGAAGCGCTTGAAGTTGTGTGACCCATTTATCTCTTTAATTCTCGTTAAGCAAGTCTAATCAAGTCATTGAATTAAAGCTAAATTTGACAAAAAAGGAATAAAAATCATTTCCTACTTGCAGCCTTTCTATTTTATATTGTAAACAAACACAAAACTTTCAAACTTTTGACACAATCAAGTCTCTGATTCGTTTTTGATTAAAAAAACCGTTTATTGTAATATTTTTCTTGTTTTCTTCTTTACTAATTGCCTCATTTCATCCAACGAATTTCCCCATTAGTGTTTGGGAAATAAATTCGTGAGATAGCTGCTTACGAAAAGAGTAATCCATATCCGGAGTAGTCACCTCTTTTTCCTCTTCTTCCCCTTTCTCTTCCTCTTCTTCCCCTTTCTCGAATTTTCCCAAAACGAAGGGATTGTCAAACGTAAGCGAGGGATTTGATGATCTTTCTTTTATCATCAACAATTTTTCTCATCGCCTCGAACTTTATGAGATGAGAATTTCTGAGAATTTCCCTTCAGAAATATGGTAACTCGAATTTTGGCCTTTTATTTTGAAGCTTATTTCACGGAGCTTATTTCACAGCTTCTCTTTAAGGTCTTTACAAGCAAATGGTTTAAAACTGTTTAAAACTGTTTGCAAAGAGGTATGCCAGTTTAAAAAGAGCTATGCCAGCTTTGGTAAAGTCTAATTGATCTTTTCAATTTCATTAATTCAATGGCTTTCGTTTCAAGCTAATAGAATCTGCTAAAGAAGCTAATTTAGCAATTCTCAGCAATTTTCAACAATTTCTAGCAATTTCCAGTAATTTTTAGCAATTTCTAGCAATTTCTAGCAATTCTCAGCAAATTCCAGCAACTCTCAGCAATCTCTAGCAATTTCTAGCAATTCTCAGCAAATTCCAGCAATTCTCAGCAATTCTCAGCAATTCTCAGCAATCTCTAGCAATTCTCCGCAATTCTCAGCAATTCTCAGCAATTCTCAGCAATTTCTAGCATCCTAAAAGTCGAATTTTAAAGCTAATTTTCTAAAAAAAGTCCCCAAGAAACCTTTAGACACATTTGACTCGACTTTTTGTAACTTTTTCCTTTTACAAATTCGATTTGTTCACTCCGATCACATTTTTTTTCCCTCAGATATTTCCTCAAGAATTCTTAACATTTTTTTGCTTCGGATAATCCAAATTCCTGAATACAGTAGGATTTAATCTCCTTTCTCCTTTCCTCTAATATAATAATCTCCTTTCCTCTAATATCTTTCACAAATTTGGATTATTTGTCATAAAAATTATCTAAATACTAGCTAAAATTATAGATAAACTTTTTAAAAAATGTGAAATCGTTGAAAAAAATTGGAATCTTCATTTGAAAACTATTTTCTTCTTTTTCTTTTCTTTCTTTTGTGCAATTGCATGACTACAAATCATTTGTAAAATATTTTTCTCGGCTTCCCTTCTATTTTCTTCAATTTAACGACAATGTGATCATTAAATAATCTGAATTGTAGCGAGTTTAGCAAATCGAATTTGACGTCATTCCATAGATCGACTTCTATAATTATTGAGTTAAAACTGCAAAATCTTTCACTGGCCTATTAGCTCAATCGGTTAAAACAATCGGTTACAACAGTAGCGTTAAGTCTCGAGGCTTTGTGTTATCTTTTCTTTCAGAATGTGAAGAATATGAAATGAAATGAATATATATATATATATGCTTTATTGAATAGCGACAAAACAAAATCACAATAATTACCCGGGACACCACTCAAAACACACCGAAAAGATAAATAGATACCTCAAGAAAGAATCACAGAGCAGTCAAATCAATTGCCGAAATTGCGGCTTTAAATCGAGCCAAGGTGGGAATATCACGAACATGAGGGAGTAAAATGTTCCAGGATTTAATAACCCGGTTAAAAAAGAACCTGTGGGGGCTTTTAGAGGAAACGGAAGGTTGGCGTATGAGAAAAGGCCTTCTGGAGGCTTCTGGAGTAGTAATCAAAGTATTCGGTTGTCCAATAAGTAATGCGTGTTACTTATTTCGAAACTATTGCGAAATCGCTTCGAGCAAATATATGCTCTTTTTAAACATCAGCACCTTGTGTTTATTTTTATATATTATTTTATTCATTTGCCTTTGTTCTATAATAGATACCGTAATAATTCTAATAGAAGACCATGGTCTTCTAATTTTCAACCCCTTCCCCAAAGGGTCTTCTATTAGAGACTGGTCTTCTGTTAGAGACTGGTCTTCTAATTTTCAACCCCCTTCCCAAAGGGTCTCCTATTAGAGACTGGTCTTGAATTTGTCAAAGCTTTAGAGAACGATTTTAGGAAGCAACCCTTTTTAAAAATCAGTCACATTTGTATCATCACTTTATTCACTTAGTTAAAGCAACAATTAACAACAATAACAACAAATAATTATTAACATAAAACATAAAACAATTTGAAAGGAGCAAATCCGTTAAAAAACCTCAATTTAATTTTCATTAATGTCATTGATTTCAATCGAGGCATCGCTTTCGTAATCCTTGTTTTTCTCGTCTTCGCCCAAATCAATTTCATCCAATAATTGAGCAACCATCTCATCATTTCGGGCTTGCAACAATTTGGAGGCCGCTTCTGGAACTGCACCGTTGGGCTAAACTAAAAACAAACGTAGATGTGTGTGTATTTGTTCTCCTTTTGCATCCGATTGAGATACATTACGAAATTGACCAACACATCAGCATATTCGTGGGGAGGCTTCTGACAGATTGACGTTGGAGTTCTCATTGAAAATCCATGACGCTTCATGAACTTTTGAAGCCATCCCAATGAACAATCGACTTTGATATCGTTTTGCTCACAAAAACGCTTTGCTTTTTCTTGGACCAAACGCCTCGAGACCTTGTTTTTCTTCTGTCGTTCGCTTCGGACCCATTCGGCAAGTTCCACGTCGAGTTGCGTATTTGTGAGGGTTCGGCCACCTTCTTTTAACCTCTTGTATGATTTCCCCATCTTTCGCAATCGTTTTTCTTGCGAAATCCATTCGCGAATCATCTTTCTGCTGACTTGAAACTTTGTGCTTGCAACATTCTTTGAGATCGTCTTTGCAAATTCAATTGTTTCTAACTTAAACTCGATCGAATATGCCTTCCGTTTGTTTCCATTCTTGAGCAGTTCCGCTTCGAGAGCCTCCAAAGCATTCTCCGAATCTTGATTCATCTCGTTTTCATTCTCCTTTTCTCGTTCCTTGAAGATTTCAAAGTCGTCTCCTTCATCTTTTCGAATATCTCGATACTCCTCCAGAGAATCCGTGCAAATTGGCAGTCGCTCAGCCATCAGCCCTGAAAATAAACACATTATTTATTTTAAGACAAGAAACAAGAATTACAAAAAACACTAGTAGGAAAGAAATAATAACTTTGCACAATGATTTTTACAAGAAAATCTGGGTGGTAGCGGGATACGGTAACATAGCGCATTTTAAGAGTTTGGGTCTTCTATTAGAGACTGGTCTTCTAATAGAGACTGGTCTTCTATTTTTCAACCTCCCCTCAAAAGGGTCTTCTATTGGAGACTGGTCTTCTAATAGAGACTGGTCTTCTATTAGAATTATTACGGTATGTTGTTTTGCAGATGAAAGACAAAAAGTTTGTTGTCCGCGCATCAATGCTGTATGATTTCAAACGAGGTAAAACTGCAGCGGATTGCCATCGAACTATCTGTGCCGCATTTGGAGAGGATTCAATTTCAATCAGCCAGTGCCAGCGCTGGTTTAAACGATTTGCGGACGGAAACGAGTCAAAAGTGTAGACGAGGTGCAAAAATGGCTCGACGATTTCTTCTCATCGAAACCAGCTTCATTCTATTATGACGGACTTCACTCTTTGCTCGGACGATGGAGAAATGTTGTTGATTGTTGTGGAGAATATATCGATATAGCACGTGTGGCTGACTGGTTAAGTGTCTTTTATCTTAATCGGAAGGTCGAGGGTTCGAACCCCACATGCGACATGGTCACCCCCTTCGGATTTCCTTTCCCTTCGGGTTGAGAGGTTTTCTGGAGGGCAGTCTGGTGGTTGTGGCCCCAGTTCTTTAAAGTGACAAGCCACTCCTTCATCGTCATCTTCCCTTCACCACCAAAAAAGCTATTTAGTTCCCCATTGAGCTTAGGGTTAGGGAGCCGTCTGTCATGACGTGGGTTAAGTTAAGATATAGCCTAGTATTGTGTGTGTCGTTGTATTGTGATTGATATATTTCGTGTATGCGATAAATTCACCACTGGTAGCCCCAGTCGGTATTTTTTTTTTTAATATTTTTTTTTAATAAAGTTCTCTTTTGTTAATTTTGTGATATTTTGAAAATCGTGTCAAAACACGCATTACTTATTGGACAACCTAATAACATTATTCTGGAGGCGCCCCGTAGAGAACCGAATTCAAAGAGACCAGAAAAAAGGGGGTCGGATGAATGCCTTTAACAATTTTAAAGCATTCCACTAAATCGATGATAAGGAGGCGTTGGTGTAATATTTCAAGGCCAAAGATTTCAAGACCAAAAAGTTGCAATCTATCAGAATAAGTAAAGGAGGAGAAATTGTCAAAATTAATTTTATAAAGAGCAATTCTGGTGAAGTGCCTCTGAACACGTTCTATTTTTTGAATAAGATTTAATAGGGAAGGAGACCAAATCAAAGAAGCGTATTCAAGAATTGGGCGGACATAAGCAACAAAACACATCCGATAAGTTTTGATGTTAGCTATGGTAATAGACCTGAGGATACGGTTAGCACTTACGGAGGCCTTATTACACATGGATTCAATGTGAAAACGGAAACTAAGAGGAGGACTAATAAGGACTCCCAAATCACGCAGATATCCATTTTTTTTTTTCTACCAAACGAATAGGATGATTATCGAGGGTTAAAGGAAGAGAAGATTTGCCAGTGGAAAAATGAGAAGACTTAGCTGGGGAGAGATTTAATCCCCAAGTTTTAGACCAGTTTACAATTAGTGAAAACAGAAATGGAAATGGTTTGAGATTTTCCATACGAATCCCTTCATGCTTTCCGAGTCAATACGATCATCACAAAACTCTAAAACTTGGGTAATTAAACCTAGTGAAATATCCAGAAATAGAGCAGTTTTCTTTAAAAACTAATAATGGATTCGAATTCTTCATCCTCCAAAACCCCTGATTGTAAATTTTTAGTCCAATCTTGGTCCAATCGCTTCAAAAAGCGCTAAATCTTCCGTCCCACCGGTGGCTCTCATGGCCGAGTGGCTAAGAGCCCTGTATCGTAGCCGGGAGGTCAGGTGGGGAAGGCCGAGGGTTCAATCCCGGCAGCTCGATTATAAGTTCGTTTTTGCATATTTAGGTTTTTACATATATAGGTTTTTCCCTATATGGCTTCAGGACCGATTCTTTTTCTTTTCTTTCAGTGTTAGGGATAACAAGCCAGCTCAGATCTTTCAATTCACCAACCCAATATATATGTCGTAGCCGTTTACGAAATTCAGCCGCGACGAATTCAGGACGAATTTTTTTCGCCGTGCCGTGTACAATTTGTAATCGGCTTCTGCGAACATGGCTCGATTCAAATGAGTTTTTGATTTCAAACTATTTATGCAAAACGCAAATCAGCAAACTAATCACAACAAGTGAAATAAAATTTATAACATTTAACATGTATAACATATTAACGTTTATAACAAACAAAAAAATCAACTAAAATGCATGCGGAACCGATTGAAGATCAATTAAGTCGACTTGGCAGCGTTCATTTTGCTCCTTCGTTATGATCGGCTTCACAACAACTCCTTTTTTGGTGTCCCCTTCTTTAATTCACATTCCGGGCAAAGTTTGATAAAAATCTCGAGTATTTCCTTTGAGATCTATGAAGAACGAATCTATCTAAGAAGAACGCCACTGAAGATAATCAACGGCCGCCTCGTCCGCCTCGTGCCCAAACCACCCGACGAGCACCGCCGCCGCCAAGAAGAACCACCTACAACGCAAAGGACGCCGCCCGGATCCAGAAACTGTACCGAACATCGCGCCCCCGTGCCTTCTGTGAGGTCATCGAAGCCGGATCCCCGTTCTGCGACATCGACAAAGCCGACCTCCACGCCCACTTCACCGCTACGTTCGCTCCATCACCACAACTCGGTTCAATGCCTCGCAGTTCTTTTTATACATCAGATCCCTGCCGGCGTGTTCTAATCTTTTGTGAGTTGACGTCAAAACATCGAAGAGTTCCTCTTTCTTGAAGAGTTTTGGTTGTTCGTTCGCTCCTTTGTCTGATTGTAGAGTATCGTTGATTGCGCAATGCTCAATGGATTATTAGTTTGTTTTTGCATATATAGGTTTATATGGTTTAGGACCGATTCTCTTTCTTTTCTTTCAGTATTAGGGATAACAAGCCAGCTCAGATCTAACCAGATACCTTTTATGGAGCTAGTGATATCAGATAGTCTATCTAGTGTTCTATCTAGTGTTAACTATCCAATCATCCACAAATCTCTTTACTACTATCAAGGGCTTCTTTGAAATCAAAATTGACTTCAACAAGCTATTTTAATATGCAAATTTGTCTATTTAATGAAGCAATCTCTTCATTTGTCCCTTTTTACATTCAAATAAGTTCTCGGACGTCTAAAATTTGTAGTTGTTGGGGTTTTCTTCTCAAATGGCAAAGAAAAAGTCGATTTTTCCTCACATTTCCTTCCTTTTTCAGGTCCTAATTGTGGGCGCTCTTGTGGAAAAAAGGAAATCCCGTTTCTGAAGGGAAAATCTTTGCTTTTTTTTGCTTTTTGCTCTTTTTGCTTTTATGAATTCTCAAATTTTAATGATCCTTATTGTTTGGTGGATGTTTTTCTTTCACTTTTCAATTCTTTTCTCTGTTGATTCACCGCATTTCATAGGGATTAGTTTATTGGATTTCTCTATTTCACTCTGGCTCTTTTTTAATCTAAAAACATTTCTAGAGAAATTAATCTCAATGTAATCTCAAATTTAACAAATGACCGATCCGAGAAGGGCGCTTTTACCAAAGGTTTGTGAATTTTTTTGTGAAATGTTTGTTTGAAGTAAGAAAGAAAACGAAAACGTCAAGAATTTTTGATTCAAATTTATAGAAAAGTATTTAAGGGCCATTATGGTACCACATGTGCGGTGGTTTGAACATTTTTGACCGAGCTATAAGCCAGCAGCATACCAGAAGCCAGCATACCAGAAAGTAACCCTTTTAACACAGTACAAGTATTAGTAACCCTTTTAACACAGTACACAGTATTTAAAACGCTGTTTTAAAACGTGGTACCACATGTGGGCTTTTTGAACAACAAGCCGAACATTTTTCACCGAGTTACAGCCTTTTTAAATTTGAGGTGACAAGAATTTAACCTTGTACTGTGTTAAAAGGGTTACTTTCTGGTATGCTGGCTTCTGGTATGCTGCTGGTTTGTAGCTCGGTCAAAAATGTTCAAACCACCGCACATGTGGTACCATAATGATCCTTAAATACTTTTCTACAACGTTGAATCAAAAATTCTTCACAAAGGTTTGTGAAATGATGTTTGAAATAAGGAATTCACGTAAATAGAGACTGTAAAACTTGAGAAATTTACTAAAGTATCGATTCGAACGATTTAGAGTACTTGTACTTAACTGAACAGTATTCTGGCATGGTTATCGGACAGTTGCCCGCTCGTTTGCCATTGGTATAACTTTAAGCTCTAATTTCTTGTTGTTGTGCAATCGAATTTACATGTTCTTGGTATCATTAGATGCGCCAAGTCTTTCTCTATCGATTGGTAGAAAAACTATCTAAATTGGACAGCCCAACACCAAGAAATTTGAGCTTAAAGTTATGCCAATGGTAAAGCCCAAATATCTTGGTGTTAAGGCGTTCAATTTACATGTTCTTGGTGTCATTAGATGCGCCAAGTCTTTCTTTAACGATTGGTAGAAAAACCATTTAAATTGGACAGCTCAACACCAAGAAATTTGAGCTTAAAGTATGCTACTGACAAAAGCGCGGGGCCACGGACATTTGATATGCTCTTTTGCCATTGGTATAACTTTAAGCTCAAATTTCTTGGTGTTGGGCTGTCCAATTTAAATAGTTTTTCTACCAATCGAAAGAGAAAGACTTGGCGCATCTAATGACACCAAGAACATATAAATTGAACACCTCAACACCAAGATATTTGGGCTTAAAGTCATGCCAAAGCGTATCAAATATCCCACAATCTTTTGGAGGTAAGCGCTTTAGTTCTTCTTTAATGTTAACTAATTCACTATTAATAAAGTCTAAACGGTTAGAAATATATTAACGGCTTTAGTTTTAGTTTAATTATTATTAAATAAGTTTAATATGATGATTTCAAAACCAGTTTGGATAAACGAACTTATTGTTCCCCTGGAGTGAGCTAGATGATGATTTTTAAGTTAATAAAAGGTAATAGTTTTAAAATTAACATTAAATAAGCTAATATTGAAACGATTTTTGTTTAGATTTATCAATATATTGTAGATTTATCTGTAGCTATTGGATTGGTGAATTGAAAACTGCCGGCTATTGTCATATGTGACAGTTTGAGCACTTTCTTCAAAAGAAATCCATTTTGGTGTCAATGGAAAAGTTGTAGAGAATCAAAAATCAAGCTTATATCCTAATTTTCAGAACGATTCAAAAATTGGTTTTCAAGAAATGCCAAATTTACGAATTTTCACAAAACCCAAAACAAAACTTGCATTTTAAGCGAAACTACTAAGTGTATCTTTTTGGAAATTTGACTATAAGTCTAATTTTTGATTCTCTACAACTTTTCTATTGACACCAAAATGGGTTTCTTTTGAAGAAAGTACTCAAACTGGGCTGACAGCTCACATCTCCAGTCCTCCATTTTTGAGTCTCACACTTGTCTCACACACAAACCAAAATCCTACTACGAAAGAGGAATCCGTAAATTGTTTGGTTGATTGATTTTAAAATAATCCTCATGAAATTTGGTTATAGAAAACAACAATTTAGTTTGTATAGTCTAGTGTAAAAACATAGAGAAAATTTCTGTCAAAGTTGGACCACCTACCTGGAAGAGTCGATGAACTTAGATGGTCTATAACTCGAGCTATAGAAGCTGAATGAACTTTTAGTTGATTTTATTAGAATCTCCATTAAATTTGGTTATAAAAATGTAGAATTTGTTTTGTAGACTTACCGATAAAAACAGAGAAAATTTGAGTCAAAGTTGAACTTCCAGATAGGAGTCTTGGAGTTCGGAGACCCTTCCAAAAACCATAAGTTTAAATGGGCAGAAGTCGTCAATAATAATGGAAATTATTTGGAATGAATTGATGATTTTATGTTGAATAAATTTTAGTTTAAAGTCCGGCAGTTTTCAATTCACCAACCGAATACATCAATCAACAACCCCTTTCAGATCTTTGGGCCAATTCTCGGACTTCTCATCTTAGTCCTTCTGGCTGTTCTCATCGCTATCTTCTACTTAAGGTAAATGAAAATCTCTTTTTTAAATATATTCCTATTCCTGCAAATCTTAAAAGCATAAAACCAGAAAATCCATTTAATTCCACTTCGATGAGTTCTCTTTTTAGAGGTCCAAGCGATTTTTCGGATAATTATCGTCAGTCATCGCGAGATCAAAACGGGAATCTCATCACTACACAATCTCCATTACAAAGATATCAAGTAAAGAAGTTCAATTCCTTTAAATCCTTTCATTTTAATCATTTTAATTCAAGAATCTTCCTTTTTCAGTCAATACGAGCCAACCGAATGGCTGCTGATTTGGTGACGACAATGAACAGTAACTTTTTTGAGAAAGAATAATAATTCTAATCAATTTTGATACTTAGATATAAAAGTAATAAAGAGATTAACCTACAGAAACTATATTGTTCACTATAAACAGCTTCAAATGCTTCAAATGCTTCCAGAAGCTTCAAATGTGTCATCTAAAATCTCAATAACTTTGAATTCAACAATGGAAGTAAACGTCGACTCAAATGAGAATCTAAAGCTTGAAAAAAGAAAAGGTAAGAGTTTAAAGGTTTCAATTCCTCATTATTCTAGTATTTAACACGGTTAACATTAGCTTTAAGTGTTCAAAGTTTGTTTAGCTTCAAGACTATTGCTCAAGTAAGATCAAATCTAGTCTTATAAAGTATTGGATTGGTGAAAACTGCGGGCTATTGTCATATGTGACAGTTTGAGCACTTTCTTCAAAAGAAACCTATTTTGGTGTCAATGGAAAAGTTGTAGAGAATCAAAAATCAAGCTTATATCCAAATTTTCAGAACGATTCAAAAACTGGTTTTCAAGAAATGCCAAATTTACGAATTTTCACAAAATTTGCATTTTAAGCGAAACTACTGAATGCATCTTTTTGGAAATTTGGCTATAAGCCTAATTTTTGATTCTCTACAACTTTTCTATTGACACCAAAATGAGTTTCTTTTGAAGAAAGTGCTCAAACTGATGCTCCAGTACTCCAGCCCCCCATTTTTGAGTCTCACACTTGTCTCACACACAAACCAAAATCCTACTACGAAAGAGGAATCCGCAAATTGCCTGTAAAATGGGCAGAAGTCGTCAATAATAATGGAAATTATTTCGAATGAATTCATGGTTTTGTTGAATTGTTTATGCTGAATAAATTTTAGTTTAAAGTCCGGCAGTTTTCAATTCACCAACCCAATAGTAGAGTCAAAACTTGTTAGTAAATAACTCAAGGGAGATCGAGAAATCTACTTACTATCAAGGTTAAATTGAATGTTCGTCAAAGATGTGTTAGAAAATCTATTTACTAAAGAGTTTTTATTGACTTATTGATTCCACAGCCGATTTTTTTGCAAATTGAAGTTGCTACCTCGTAGACAGCTCGTTTTCCCTTTTTTTTTCTTTTAAAATTCATTAAAATTGAAAGCAATAAACACTTTTTATACTTAAATTCATATAATTATAACGCGATTCTCTTTAATTTGTTGCTTAAAAGTCAATTCGTTTCCTTAAAAACGGGCTCTCTAATCAATAAATACCGAGAATTGAGTAATCGATAAATGAGTCTCTTTTACTAAAAATATTCAATCTATACGTATACTGTAAGTTATTGTACTGTACTGTACAGTGGCGTACTGTACAGTAACTTAAATTATACATTTGTTACGTCCGAATCCGATCAGATAATCACTTCGGAAGAAGTTAAATGCTAGAAACGACTAGCTCACGGTCACAGATTCGATCCCCAATGCTGCAAATCTCTTTCACCTTTTTTGTTTTAATGTTTTTTCACTCTTTCTTCCTTTCTTCCTTTCTTCTTCCCCAGTCTTTCCTTCTTTCTCTTGACAATTTAAGATACTGTATAGCTCAGTGGTTAGAGCAATTAAGCCGGTTAGAGTCGCGCGTTCGACCCCAGGTCCCCAGGTTTCTATAAAGGCACTCCATTGATTACCAAAGATCCCAATAAGTCACAGGTCCAATTTTCCCTTTCAATTCCTCATTATCAGCATCAAGTACATGTACAATTGCGCCTGTTGGTGGCTTACTGTATTGCAGTTGATCCTCGGTACATTCAGGAATTGAGTTACTTGTTCTATGAGACTGATACGACAATTATTAACCAATATTGTGTTTTCTGAAGTATTTAACAGCTACAACGAATCTATTTAAAGGAAATCGAAGCTTTTTAAAGCTATGATCAGCGTAAATCCAAGAATTATACTTGTGTTGAAGTTGTGTTGTATTTGCTTGATGTTTTCTCGGATCTTTAGGAGTATTGGCATTAGTATTATAGTTGTTTAGTGAAAAAATGATCAAAACAAAGAAATAAAAGACATTTGCAGCATCGGGGATCGAACGTAACTTGATCTTAGCTTGGCATCTTAACAGTAGCTGTGAACGTAGTAGCTGTCAACATAGTAGCTGTCAATGTAGTAGCTGTCAATGTAGTAGCTATGAACGTAGTAGCTATCAACGTAGTAGCTATCAACGTAGTAGCTATCAACGTAGTAGCTGCTAACGAGCTAATTTTAACAGCAGTTTAACTTCATCTTCTGTAGATCGGATTCGGACATAAACTCTACATAAATCGAATATTTTTTGTAAACTTAAACCAGTTTTAAAGAGTAATTTCCCTTTCTAGATGGTATTCTATTGGATAATTCTGGATTCGAATCAACTACCGCTAAAATTTCGACAACAACCGAGTCTCAAGAGTTCTTCAAAGCTTTAGGTATTTCTAGTAAAAGAACTTTGTACAAAATCCGATTAGTGAACTACTTCTATGGCTTGAAAAGTGGCGATGATGTTAGACGAGGATTTGTCAGTCAACGTGTTCATCCACCTTTCTCATTTTTGCCGTAATTTGTGTTTTGGAAAATGATAATAAAAGAATTTATTACTCAGACGATTTCAATTATAAAACGATTTTAATTATAAAAACGATTTCAATTTCTGTTTCTTTCTTCTTCTCCTTCTTCTTCTTCTTCTCCTTCTTCTTCTTCTTCTTCTCCTTCTTCTTCTTCTTCTTCTTCTCCTTCTTCTCCTTCTTCTTCTTCTTCTTCTTCTTCTTCTTCTTCTTCTTCTTCTTCTTCTTCTTCTTCTTCTTCTCCTTCTTCTTCTTCTTCTTCTCCTTCTTCTTCTCCTTCTTCTTCTTCTTCTCCTTCTTCTTCTTCTTCTTCTTCTCCTTCTTCTCCTTCTTCTTCTTCTTCTTCTTCTTCTTCTTCTTCTTCTTTTTCTACAAATCTACAATTCTTTTTCTACAACTCTCATTATTTTCGAGATTCCCTATTCCATCGATCAATTTGTGCTTTGTCATAAAATTTTTGAAAGAATATAAATGAGAAGATGGGTAAGAAAAAGGAGGGAAATGGAGAAGAACTGATAAGGAATTGGAGGGGAAAGTTTGATGGGAAGAAAGGAAAGAAGAAAGAAAAGAAGAAAGAAAAGAAGAAAGAAAAGAAGAAAGAATCGGGAAAGAAAAGGGGAAAGTCCCAACTGGCACCGATTGGAATCAATGGGGAATGGAGGGGAAAGTATACCAATCAAATGAAAGAACGGGTATTGACTTGCTTCAAATTCTGTGGATTGGATTGGATTAGATCGATCCGCTAAAGATTTCTATAGAGAACTGAAGCAGCGCCTTCGCTGCCTGATAGTGAACTCAAGCAGCTGCTTAGCTCAAGAAAAGGTCGTATTTCAAATCTAGTATCATCTAAAGAAAACGATTAGGGATTTTCCTGAAAAGTTGGCATCTTCTGTAATCAAGTGTGCTCTTTTTTATCTAGACATTAAAGGAGGTTTGTGTGGAAGAAACTGTTCAAACGATTAGTTGTTTTAGACTGTTTTTTTGCTATTTTGTCTAGCTGTGTTTGGAAGTCCAACTCCACGAAAGAAAAGCTTTGTAGAATTCAAATTCTGTTGGATTGGATTGGATCAGATCGATCCGATAAAGATTTCTATAAAGATAGAGAACTCAAGCAGCTGCTTAGCTCAAGAAAAGCTCATTTTTCAAATCTAGTGTCATCTAAAGAAAACGATTAGGGATCTTCCTAAAAATTTGACAACTTATGTAAGTGATTGTGCTCTTTTTTATCTAGACATTAAAGGAGGTTTATGTGGAAGAAACTGTTCAAACGATTAGTTGTTTTAGACTGTTTTTTTGCTATTTTTTCTAGCTGTGTTTGGAAGTCCAACTCGGCAAAAGAAAAGCTTTGTGGAATCTTTAAAAACTCATTTTGTAGAGAAATATTGAAGCCTTTTGATGAAAGGTTTATTTAAAGAAAGCTTTATGCATGAAAAAAGTATCTTTAAAGTTCGGCACCATTTCATTCTCCTCAACTCAATAAATAGGCCACACCACTTCCGGTGCACAAATGAGAAACAAACTTATGCCAATCATGGAAAAAAACACGTTAACGTTCGCCTTCTAGCACTTAAGTGAGAATAAAAGGCATAGAAAACGTGAATGTTGAAATTTCGTTGAAATTACCTAACAACTTAACGTCTTTTATTGGATTGAGGAGAATGAATCAAAGAAATTTCTAAAACTTCTAGCAGACTTCGTTAAATGACACGCTTTTGATATCAATATAAAGGTTAACGAATTCTCTACAAAATGTCATTTAAAAGAATACTCAAACAGCTCAAGAAAAGGACATTTTTCAAATCTAGTGTCATCCAAAGAAAACGATTAGGGATCTTCCTAAAAAGTTGACATCTTCTGTAATGGAGTGTGCTCATTTTTATCTAGACATCAAAGGAGGTTTATGTGGAAGAAACTGTTCAAATGGTTAGCTGTTTTAGACTGTTTTTTTTGTTATTTTGTCTAGCTGTGCTTGGAAGTTCAACTTGGCAAAAGAAAAGCTTTGTAGAATTCAAATTCTGTGGATTGGATTGGATCAGATCGATCCGATAAAGATTTTTATAAAGATAGAGAACTCAAGCAGCGCCTTAGCTCAAGAAAAAGTCGTATTTCAAATCTAGTGTCATCTAAAGAAAACGATTAAGGATCTTCCTGAAAAGTTGGCATCTTCTGTAATTGAGTGTGCTCTTTTTTATGTAGACATCAAGGAGGTTTGCATGGAAGAAACTGTTCAAACGATTAGCTGTTTTAGACTGTTTTTTTGCTATTTTGTCTAGCTGTGCTTGGAAGTTAAACTCTGCAAAAGAAAAGCTTTGTAGAATCTCTCAAAAGTCATTTTGTAGAGAAATATTGAAGCCTTTTGATCCAGAGTATCCTTTTGATGAAATAAAACATGTATTAAAGGGTTTATGCATGCAAAAAGTATCTTTAAAGTTCTTTAAAGTTGTTTAAAGTTCTTTAAAGTCTCTTTAAAGTTCTTTAAAGTTCTTTAAAGTCTCTTTAAAGTCTCTTTAAAGTTCTTTAAAGTGTCTTTAAAGTTCTTTAAAGTCTCTTTAAAGTTCTTTAAAGTTCTTTAAAGTGTCTTTAAAGTTCTTTAAAGTCTCTTTAAAGTTCTTTAAAGTTCTTTAAAGTCTCTTTAAAGCTCTTTAAAGTGCCTTTAAAGTTCTTTAAAGTGTCTTTAAACTTCTTTAAAGCTCCTTTAAAGTCCCCCATTTCATTCTCCTCAATCCAATAACTGAATCTTCACCAAATTCACTGAATATTTTGCATTTTGATGGGATAATTTTCATTTAAAATAAATGCTAAATGCAAAAGGTATGTTTTTGAGTTAATTGAATCCTTTCTATCGGATGGATTGGATCCGATTCATCCGACAATGTTTTCAATTCAATCAATCATTGAATCCCAAGTCTAAGCGCTACTTTCCCTTCTAAATATTATCCCTTGGTATAGTGAAATTTACATATAAAGCTTTGAAATGATAAGAAATGATAGCTGCTTAACGAGTCCTCAAGAAATTCTATTCATTAGACCTGCTTGACGAGTCTGATCAAAATTTTCAGACAGTCTGCCTTCACTCTTCGATTTTTTACTGCCCAAAGCTCCTTCGAGCATGAAACCCAGTTCCCCTACAAGCCCTTATTTTAAGCTTTATTTTGATACCAAACATGGTTAGGTTTTGTTTTCCTATTCTTTAGATTTCGATCATTTTAGATAATTTTTCTAAACTCGTTCAGCTTATCGAGTTCGGCGAAAGGTTGATCGAAATCTAAAGAATGACAAAACAAAACCTAGCCATTTTTAGTATTAAAATGAAGCTTAAAATAAGGGCTTGTAAGGGAACCGGGTTTCATGCTCGAAGGAGCTTTGGGCAGTAAAAAAATCGAAGAGTGAAGGCAGACTGTCTGAAAATTTTGATCAGACTCGTCAAGCAGGTCTAATGCATAGAATTTCTTGAGTACAGTAATAAATTGCCTAGATGATCTGATTCTAAAGCTGAGCTGAGCTTTAAAACAACTGCATCAAGCAAGAAGTTGGAGAAGGACAAGGCAGAGGCTTTACAAGGTGATCAAAAATGGATCAAGTGCTGAATAAAGTGCCAACCGATTCAATGAGATCGAGCAACCGATTCAATGAGATTTTCAATGATGATCTGTAAGAAATAACAAAATATAGGTTTAAAAGAGAAATCTGTGCGAATAGAAGTAAGTTTTGAATGTTCTTTTAAAGTGATCGAAGATATCAGTTTTATTTGAGAGCCTTCCTATCAGACATCGTTCGCCTTTCCTTGCCTTGCTTCCCTTGCTTCCCTGCACTCATTTCCCTTCCATTCCTCATATCTTTACTGAACCATTTCCACTCAGCTCTCCCGTCTTTCTTAGATTATACTTCTCTGATAAATGTTTATTTGTCTTGTAAGGAAATCGGATTGAATCGGTTTTTTGAAGTGTTTAAAGCTTTTCACACTTTCTTTGACACTTTAACAGTTGATTATTTGATTTAGAGAAGTCTGATCGAGATTAGAACTTAGAATAGATTACATATAAAGCTTGAGAAAGCTTAATAGCTTAATATAAAGCTTTAGAAGACTATTATAGTCAGCTCAGATGCCAGAGAACGAGCATTTGTCTGAACACAAAGTACAGAACTTTGACTCAAAGTTTGAAGTGATTAGTTGAGAGAAAACTTGTTATAAAGAACATTAGGTACAAAGAAAACTACCGTAATAATTCTAATAGAAGACCAGTCTCTAATAGAAGACCACCCCCCCTGACCCCTTGAAATCGGGACTTTTTAAAACTTCTTTTTAAGTAGAATGATAGATTTCGGTCCAGATAGTAATATTTTAGCCCCGGCAGTTAAATTGGAGACGTAGTTTTTGAAAAAATTAAAAAATAACTTTTTGGAAAAAATTTTATGTGGTCCCCCACATGGATTTTTTTGAAAGATTTTCTATGGAGTCCGGGCAAGAAAATAATTTCACTTTTAGACATGTTTTTGGCATGTTTTGGGCCAAGGGCTATCGTTTGAAATAGTTTTTAACAATTTTTAATTTTTTGATTTATGTAGGGGACCCTTACCTACTTTTTTGACCGATCAATTTTGGGGGGGTTGAAAATTAGAAGACCATGGTCTTCTATTAGAATTATTACGGTAGTTACAAAGAACCCTAGGTACAAAGAAAACCTTAAATTTCATGTCTATCAATCTTTTAACAAATATTATGCAAGATTCTGATCCCTAAGGGTACTGTAATCCACTCGGACGATCGTTTCCACATAAATTCAGATTCTGTTGAATTTCGGTGATGAAAAGAGTGAATGAAGGGGAAAGGGAAAGAAAGGGAAGAAGGAGAAGAAGGAGAAGAAGAAGAAGAAGAGGACCCTGACTTCATTCACTCATTCGGTACTGATAAGGTGATGGAAAGAGGAGAAAGGATTGACTCCCCTCCCCTCTCCTCTCCCTCCTCTCCTCTCCCACCTCTCCCACCTTTCCAATGCCCACCAGGGATCGAATACCGTGTACCCTGCGAAAAGGACGCCTAATTTCAGTCCTTTAGCTTTCAACCACTCCATTTTTGTCAATTACTTTTAATAATCGTTTCACTCTTTCAATTTTCAGAAAGCTTCTCAATTTTTGGTGAAAGATTGATGCAAAAAAGCTGCTAGCTGTCAGATTAGACAAGTAAAGTTTGATAAAACTGTAGGTTAGATAGAATTTATTAATTATTAACTCAAAGATTAGTACTAGATCTAGTAATTCTAGTAATAATTAAACAAATCAAAGGTAAGTAAGCTAAGTAATCAGAGAAGCTTTCAATCCAATTTGCTGAGCTAAAACTCTTTAAAGTTTAAGTTATTTTATAGAAAAAAAAACCAAAATTGAACCCTCCTATCGGCTTCGTGGTTTGAAATTCGTCAAATTTACGTATTGTTTTTGAGATTTGATTCTACCCGATAACCATATCTAGGATGGGAAAGAATGGGGAGAATGGGAAGATTGGGAGAATGGGAAGATTGCTGTGATAGCTGTGATAGCTGTGAGCATGTTTCTAGATAACTTTCACACCTTTTCCCCCTTCTCGGCTTTCACTCAAAATTGATAGATAGGCAATTGAGGAATTGAATTTGTGTTTATAAATGATAAATGGAGAGGAAATGAGGGGGTCGCTATCTTGCGCATCCAGTCTGACACTCGAGGAGTTGATAGGGAACAGAGCAAGGTGTTGATAGGGAACTTTAGAGGGAACTTGATAGGGAACAGATCTTCTTCTTCAAATGGAATTGCGTGGAAGTCAATTATTGATTACTTGTAGATTCGTGAATAATTTTTGATTGATGAATAAGTTTTTCAAAGGTTTATACAGAGTTTATCAAGTTTTATTTACTTTTAAACTTTTAAATCGATAGAATCGATTAGAAAGTAAATAAAACCGATAGAAATCAACGATTTCTATCGGTTTTATCGGTTTAAAAGTAATTGATTATCGGGTAATCAAAGCCAAAGTAATTGATTGATTATCGGGTAACCAAACCAAAGCCAAATCTCTATTTCTAGCTTTTCAATCGATTCCAACTCCAGTTTAAAATTGATTTTTCAACTTTTTAATCATTCAATGAATTCATTCAGTTAATTCAGTAGTACAAATTGTTTGTTTTGTTTTAAAGTACAATGACAGCTTGGTGGTAAGCTTGGCAGTAAGGTTGGCAGTTAGCTTGGTAGTAAGCTTGGCAGGAAGCTTAGCAGTTAGCTTAGCAGTTAGCTTGACAGTAAGCTTGGCAGCAAGCTTGGCAGTAAGCTTAGCAGTAAGCTTGGCAGGAAGCTTGGTAGTAAGCTGGCAGTAATCTTGGCAGTAATCTTGGCCGGAAGCTAGGCAGGAAGCTTAGCAGTAAGCTTGGTAGTAGGCTTGGCAGTAAGCTTGGCAGAAAGCTTGGCAGGAAGCTTGGCAGGAAGCTTGGCAGTAAGCTTAGCAGTAAGCTTGGCAGGAAGCTTGGTAGTAAGCTGGCAGTAATCTTGGCAGTAAGCTTAGCAGGAAGCTTAGCTAACAATCAAGCATCATTACCAAAGTTTACAAAGCGAAAATCAATTGAAGAACTAAAACTAGCACTAGTTACTCTACTTTAGCACTAGTCAGTAATCAGTAAGCAATATTCTCGTATATTATTCAGAAGCCTCAATCTTCAGAAGCCTACTCGACTCCCCGTCTACCTCTCGATCCACAATTCATTTCACTTGAATGCAAGCGTCAACCTCATCTCTGCCCATTCTCCTCTCCGGCACTTCAGCCGATCTTTTGGGTATCAGCACGACAAGAGCCGATTACGGTAAGTTTTTCACACAAAAATTCTTCTCATTGGTCGCTTGTTTTCTGATGAATCACACAATGAACCCATTCCCGCCCATTTATTGAACTGTTAGAAAAAAAAAGCGCCGAATTTTCTTTCAAAAGAATATTGACAAAGTGGATGACTTAAAAAATAGATTAATTGATTTTCAGGTGTACTTTGAGCTGGCCAAAACACAGTCTTTCTAAAGCACTTTCTAGGGCACAACTTGTTTCATGAGAAAGCAAGAAATTTGTAGTTTTTTAGCATTCACTAGAAATTTCTTTGATAGATTAAAATTCAATAAAATATATCTAGAATCCAATAAAGCTAGAATCTAATAAATCTAGAATCCAATATATCTAGAATCCAATAAATCTAGAATCCAATATATCTAGAATCCAATATATCTAGAATCTAATAAATCTAGAATCCAATAAATCTAGAATCTAATAAAGCTAGAATCCAATATATCTAGAATCTAATAAAGCTAGAATCTAATAAATCTAGAATCTAATAAAGCTAGAAATCCAAATTTCAGCTACAATGGAAGGCTTGAGTCTACCCAGTGGCACAATCGATTACAACAGTTTGATTTATATGGATCCAACGAATAGCCACCATCTCGCATTGCCGATTCCAATCACGAAAGCTGAAGAAGAGGCCGCACTTTTATCCACTGGTAAGAAGGGAAAGATGGAAGAAGATTAGGTGGAAGAAGAAGAAGAAGAAGAACTAGAACACATCAAAACATCACAATTTTTGGAGAGAATTTGAGGAAATACTTTCAAAATCCCTTGTATGCATTCAAGAATGTCCCATTTTGTCGAAAGGCTTTGTTTATTGATTTGTAGCAACTAGAAACATTGCTATTTCTACTATTAACTAGCTACTAACTAACTAACTAGCTACTACTAACTTTAAAGATCTATTATTGCTAAAGTTAGATATTTTCTTTGCAAACTCACGAGAACTGGTGACTTTTTGCATAAGATATAAACCTGCAAAAACTGATGGTTTCTCAGGCAAGGTTAGGCAGAACCTGGCTCCTGGCCTTGCCTGACCTGGTACTGGCCCTGCCTGACCTGGTACTGGCCTTGCCTGACCTGGTACTGGTCTTGCCTAGCCTGGTACTGGCCTTGCCTGACCTGGTACTGGTCTTGCCTGGCCTGGTACTGGCCTTGCCTGGCCTGGTACTGGCCTTGCCTGGCCTGGTACTAGCCTTGCCTGACCTAGCTCCTGGCCTTCCCTGACCTAGCTCCTGGCCCTGCTTGACCTGGTACTGGCATTGCTTGACCTGGTACTGGCCTTGCCTGACCTGGTACTGGCCTTGCCTGGCCTGGTACTGGCCTAGCCTACTGATACTGTCAAGTTTCTAGACAATTAGTCATGTCAAGTTGTTCATAAGGTAGCCTTTGGTTAGGACAGGTACCAGAAAGGCACACTTCAGAGCTTCTCAATGACAACATTGAGACTCAATCTCAACAACATTCTAGATTCTCAATGACAACAAATTAACTTGTTGTTATTTTTGTTTATAAATTTCAAAATGGTGATCTAAAAGAGAGTATAATAAAAGATCAATAAAACTACAAAAAGCAGCGATTGCACTGCCGGGGGTCGAACCTCCGAAGTTCTCGGGGATGGTTGGTTTGGAGCCTGGAACTTTACCAGTCGGCCACCGAGGAACCTTGACGGGTGGCTTAAATTCGCATAATGAAGGTCCCTAAAAATTTCGTCTTTTTCATCATTCGGCTCTATTCTCCTTTAAAGTATTGCCAAAAACTAATTACAGATTGAATTAAATAAAAATTTCGGCTTATTAAGGTCTCCCAAAACTTTCGGCTGTATTCTCCTTAAGAAAAATATTGCCAAAAACTAATTACAGATTCAGGCACTCAAATTGAATATGATAAAGCTATTAAAGTTCAAAAAACTCATAACTCTCTTTGTTAGAAAACCTAGAGATCCAATTGAAGCATTAAAGTGTTAAATCTCGATTTCTAGCATATTCCACCGGTGTGCTCACAGCCAATTTCGAAGAGATGAAGCCGGCGGCAAGCACTTCAACGAGATCATCTGGTGAGTGGGGGGAAAGTAATTGTCGCCATTTTCAGCATCAATTACAATTCATTTTTGTTTATTCATTAAGAGACTTTCACGAAATTCTCTAAACTCGATTTTCCCAATGACTCATCTTTATTACCTGTTTCCTAAAGGCTATTGTAAGTTTTGAATCCTTCTTCTTTATTGTTCTTCTTTATTTTTCTTCAATAAAGTGAAGATCTTAGGTAATAAAGTGAATAGAGTTCTTGAATGCATTACTCAAGAATTGATTTTGAAATCAAAACTGACTAATGAACATTCATTTGAAGCAAAAGCAGTGGAATAGCTGCTGGAACTAGAGAAGAACTAGAGAAGAGCTAGAGAAGAGCTAGGGAAGAACTAGAGAAGAGCTAGAGAAGAACTAGAGAAGAGCTAGAGAAGAGCTAGGGAAGAACTAGAGAAGAGCTAGAGAAGAGCTAGAGAAGAGCTAGAGTAGAACTAGAGAAGAACTAGAACTAGATTAGAACTCTTAAAGTAGATCCTAAAAACACAATTTCTCGATTTTAGTCATTGAGCCAACTTCAGTGCTGGCTCCGGTGAATATCTACGAAAAATCCCAACAAGAACTCTCCCAAGCTCTCCTCCTTCAACAACACGATTCTCGTCAATTCTTCTTGCAACCCGACCTCACTCAAGCCTCAATCGCTGAACAATTTGGACAAAATCTCTACTCACAAGTACTCAATTGACTTTAAAATTAATGAAAACTTGAGCAAGTGTGAAAGCTTTTCGAAAATTCTAACGATTTTAACGATTCAAACGATTTTAACGATTCAAACGATTTTAACGATTCAAACGATTCAAACGATTTTACTACAGAAGTATTATGTAGCTTAGCATAATTTCAAGAGTCTGGCTGAGATTTGTACGAGTAAAAGCTGCTTTTGATTGTAAAATCAATGGATTTTGATTAATATTGGGTTGGTGAATTGAAAACTGTGGGACTTTGAACTAAAATTTCGTCATCATAAAACCATAAATTCATTCCAAATAATTCCCATTATTATTGACGACTTCTGCCCATTTTACAGGCAATTTGCGGATTCCTCTTTCGTAGTAGGATTTTGGTTTTGATTTGAAAAACTTTCAAAGCCACTTTTTGACTGCTTCTTCCGAATCAAAGTGTTCTCCCGCAAGCTCATGATCCGGAATAAATAGTAATCAAAAGGGGCGAGGTCCGAACTGTATGGAGAAAGCGCCAAAAGCTCCCAAACAAGGCTATTTATTTTAGAGCGAGTTAGTTTTGCAACATGAGGGCGCGTTGTCGTGGATGAGAACGATCTTTGACTTGGAGGCCCTATGCTTCTTCAGGGATTCATTCGCCTTTCCCAACTGTTCACTGTATTTGATTGCATTAACGGTCGTCATTAACGGCATTAACATCTGCTGGGTCGTCTTGCTATCCAGCAACTCCCAGTACACCACTCCCTCCATAGCTGCGGCACTTTGAACTAAAATTTCTTCATAAAACCATAAATTCATTCTAAATAATTTCCATTATTATTGACGACTTCTGCCCATTTTACAGGCAATTTGCGGATTCCTCTTTCGTAGTAGGATTTTGGTTTGTGTGTGAGACAAGTGTGAGACTCAAAAATGGAGGACTGGAGCACTGGAGCACCAGTTTGAGCACTTTCTTCAAAAGAAACCCATTTTGGTGTCAATAGAAAAGTTGTAGAGAATCAAAAATTAGGCTTATAGCCAAATTTCCAAAAAGATGCATTCAGTAGTTTCGCTTAAAATGCAAGTTTTGTGAAAATTCATAAATTTGGCATTTCTTGAAAACCAGTTTTTGAATCGTTCTGAAAATTTGGATATAAGCTTGATTTTTGATTCTCTACAACTTTTCCATTGACACCAACATGGGTTTCTTTTGAAGAAAGTGCTCAAACTGGGACCTATGAGAATAGCCGACAGTTTTCAATTCACCAACCCAATAATTCAATCGATTCTAATTCGATCATTTCTAAACCCTAAAGAAAAGTTCTTTGAGTTGTTAGATTTAAACTTATTAGTTAGCTTTTTGGTTTTCTTGAAAAAGCAAATTGTATCATTGTTAGCAATTCTTCGATCACAACCAGCTCGCTGATCCCAATTTGTACAGTGTTCCAACGTCAGGACATCAAATCTTTCCAATCAGGTGCGTTGAAAGTAAAATGAAGCACAGAAAAGGAACAATTATTTGGTTTAGATTAGAAATTCAATGATTATTATGATTAGAAAGAAAATTGAATATTAGTTTGAGCATTTTGTTTCCAGAATCGACAATCCTTATGCTAATCCATCGTATGCACTGCCGAGTGTTGGTGGCACAACCACGATTACTCAATACGGGAATTATGAGTCAAGACTGGTTGGTTTTAAATTGAAAAAAGAGTTTCATTGAAAAGCCATGGCCGACTGGCTTAGATCGACTGGCTTAGATCGACTGGCTTAGGTCGACTGGCTTAGGTCGACTGGCTGGCTTAGATCGACTGGCTTAGGTCGACTGGCTTAGGTCGACTGGCTGGCTTAGATCGACTGGCTTAGATCGACTGGCTTAGGTCAACTGGCTTAGGTCAACTGGCTTAGGTCGACTGGCTGGCTTAGGTCGACTGGCTGGCTTAGATCGACTGGCTGGCTTAGATCGACTAGCTGGCTTAGGTCGACTGGCTGGCTTAGGTCGACTGGCTGGCTTAGATCGACTGGCTGGCTTAGGTCGACTGGCTGGCTTAGATCGACTGGCTTAGATCGACTGGCTTAGGTCGACTGGCTTTGGTCGACTGGCTTTGGTCGACTGGCCTTGTATTTGAGTCAAGCGTTCAATCCCGACCTCTTTCCCGATTGGTTTTCTCTAATTTAGGGCTTAGGGCTGCTTATTTGCACCATATTATTCTGTGAATAATTGTTTTTAAAAAGTTAAACGATATTTTTAGTCTGAATGCTTGGCTTGTGGCAGTCAAACATACAATGGACAGATTTGTGAGAGATGTGCACAAATACAGATGGGAACGGTGAGTTTTTGTGGCCAATCAACTACAGCGCTCGCTCACTATCAGCTAGCTACTGTACCCAAACACTAGCTATTGTTTCATCGACAGTTTTCCCTTGTTCTGGATTACTGTAGCTGTTGTCGGAGGTAGTAGTTGAGGTTTGAGTGACTGCTGTGAGTAACAGCAGCAGTAACTGCTGTAGTAACTGCTGCTGTAACTGCTGCTGTAGTAACTGCTGCTGTAAGATTTGGATTAAGACATACAATTCTGGAAAACTGAGAACTGAGAGAACAGTACATTCTGTTCTACTGAATCAATTTGAACTTTAGTTTCCTCATCCGCTTCCTGATTTAGCGATGCCACAACCAGTTCCACAACAACAACCAACAGCCACAAAGCAGCGACCATCACACAAACAGAAATCGACGGTCAGGGTAGCTGATTTGAAAATTCATCATGATTTAAACGAAAAAGATTTTAGACAACATCCGCTCGTCGTCAAGGATTGATTTGCTCAAATTGCAATGGGACAAATACGACGCTTTGGAGGAGAAATGCGGAGGGAGAGCCGGTTTGCAAGTAAGAAATCGAATTTATTCTGTAAACTAGAAGCTTCGCAGCAAAAAGCAAAAGAATTGGCAGCGAGAGGAGTCGAACCCTCGACCTCTCTTCTGTTCATTTGAGAGACGCCGTTAATCACTCGGCTAGTAGATGGCGCGGTGCGAGCTTTGCTCTAGGTCACACGACGAGGGTTCGACTCCCGCCCATGACAGCACTTTTGATTTCTTAAAAATTTAAAAAGGTTTTGCAGAACTACATAAAATTCTAAGCCAAACGAATTATAAGTTATTTGAAACGGTCCAATGGGTGCGGAGAAGTAGTGCGCATAGACAAACAGACGGACAGACAGACAGATAGACAGACAGACAGATAGACAGACAGACAGATAGACAGACAGACAGATAGACAGACAGACAGATAGACAGACAGACAGATAGACAGACAGACAGATAGACAGACAGACAGACAGATAGACAGACAGATAGACAGACAGATAGGCAGACAGATAGACAGGCAGGCAGGCAGGCAGACGGTATGAAAAAGCAGGCAGATAGACAGACAGACAAACAAACAAACCAACAGACGCCTTAATTCCTTTATATAGTATTATTTATTTCAGTGCTTGTGGTCTTTACTTTAAATTGCACAATGTACAACGACCGATCAGTATGAAAAAGGAGGGAACGCTTCAGACGAGGAAAAGAAAGCCAAAGGTTGGGCTTTCAAAGAGTGTTTGTTTTGTGCTTTCTAAATCGTGCTTACTTTTGGCTACCGTAATCTACCGTAATCTTGTCTTAATTTCTGATACTATGAGCTTTCTTAAAGGTGCTATAGATAGCTAAAACTAGATAGATTACGGTAGCAGTAAATCCGAAGTTTGACGGGTAAAATGGGAAAGATTATGATAAATTTAGAAGCTTAGAAGTTAGAAAACGATTGAATTGATCAATTGAACACAATGAGAGGTATCTAATGAAATGAATTTAGAATTCTGACGGTCCAGGCAGCAAGAAGAGATCAGCGACTATTGCAACGACAGCCACTGAACGAGCCGCCTATGCACAAGCAGCTGTGAATGGATTGGATAGAGCAAATGGTTGGTTGATAAAGTGGATAGTTAATTTGATTCATTTGATTCATTTGATTCATTTGATCAATATTGATCAAGATATTGGTCTTTTTTTAAGATTTCTTTCTGTGTTGATTCTGTTTTGATTCTGTTTTGTTTCTGTGTTGATTCTCTTTTGATTTCTGATTCTGTTTAACATGAATTTCCAGGTGAACTTCAAGCAGCATTTACTGCAAACGGTCAAGCGTATTTGCCTTCAATAGAAGAATATTCAACAGCTTATCAATGGCAAACCACGATTATTACAGGTAGAAATTAGAATAAAACAAAAAAACAGAGTTCTTTTCATTATGGAAAGCTATCGTATGCAAAAGATCATTGCCAGATCATTGCCAGATCATTGCCAGTCATTGCCAGTCATTGCCAGTCATTGCCAGTCATTGCCAGATCATTGCCAGTCATTGCCAGATCATTGCCAGTCATTGCCAGTCATTGCCAGTCATTGCCAGTCATTGCCAGTCATTACCAGTCATTGCAAGAGCTGAGGAAAGAGTTTAGCTTTCTGAGTTAGCTTTCTGTAAAGGAAAGAGTTTAGCGGAGGAAAGAGTGAGCTTTCTTTCAGCTATAACTTTTTCAATTTTGATAGAGAGGAGTAAGTTGTGTTGCTTTTAGTACTCTACCTTAGACTTTTAACGAAAATAACTGTCAATTCTTTTTTCCCGTTGACAATCTAAGGTTTTTCGTCTTTTTCTCAGCACCAACCCTTTGATTTTGATTATTTTGACTATCATTCGATGTAGAATAAAATCACGCGTCGAATGATACCAAAATCAACTCAAAATATAATATCCAAGCAAAGTTGTTGGCGGCAAACCTAAACCCGGTTTGTTATGGGCGAGACTTAACCTTTTGCCTTATAACTTTGCATGGAGATTATATTTTGGTTCATTTTGGTATTATTCGACGCGTGATTTTATTCTGCATCGAATGATATTTAAAATAATCAAAATCAAAGGGTTGGTGCTGAGAAAAACCTCAAATTGCCAACGGCAAATGGTTAAGTCTCGCCCATAACGAACCGGGTTTAGGTTTTTAGCCAACAACTTTGCATGGAGATGATATTTTGAGCTCATTTTGGTATTATTCAATGCGCAATTTTATTTTGCATTAAATGATAGTCAAAATAACGTAGAAAGGTTGAATTTGAATCAAATTATAGCCAGGTAATTGGGCGGGGATTTTTTTTTCGGAAATTTTGACGGGAAATTCTGTAAGCTGGCTTTTTCCTACACCGAATGCGTTACAAATCTTTATATAGTATTTAGGTAATGAAAAAAAGGCGTGTAAAATGATTTCATTGTTTTTCAGATGTTTTGCATACAATAGCTTTTTAGAATGAAAAGATTTGGATTGAAAAAAATGATAATAGAAGATTCAGAAGTTTTATGGACGATTTCTAAGGTATGGCTTAGTTGTGGTGTTGATACAGATCTTTAGAGTGTTTTCCTCGCGAGTAAGTAATTATCGTATTTTCTCTAAGAGTAGTGCACCCCGGCGAGCCGAGTTAGTCACTATTTTACGGTTTTCAAACTTTTGCAGAAGCTCAACACTCAAATCCCCCACTAGATCTCGTCAGCCACATTTTCCGACCCCACATCGATAGGTTCTGATAAACGGTTCTCGAGATTTCGAGGAATTTAGGCGACGCTCAAGCTTAGACTTAGGCTTCGGTTCAGGCCCAGGCTTAGGTCCAGGCTCAGGCTTAGACTTAGGCCCAGGCTTAGGTCCAGGCTCAGGTCCAGGCTTGGGTCCAGGCTCAGGCTTAGACTTAGGCTCAGGCTTAGGTTCAGGCTCAGGTCCAGGCTTGGGTCCAGGCTTAGACTTAGGCTTAGGATCAGGCTCAGGCCCAGGCTTAGGTCCAGGCTCAGGCTTAGACTTAGGCCCAGGCTTAGGTCCAGGCTTAGGCTTGAAAATCAACGCACTATCCATCAATGAAAGCTTCAAAAAGAACAACGAACCATTGTTTGCTAAAGTGTGTCCTTTTCTGTCTTCGTACTGTAGCAACATTTCAACTACCGTATTTTCTCTAATAGTGGTGCACCGCGACGAGCCGAGTTGATGACTATTTACGGCTTCCAAAGTTTTCCCAGAAGCTCAACACTCAAATCCCTCACTAGATCTCATCGTCAGCTACATTTTCCGACCCCACATCGATAGGTTCTGATAAACGGTTCTCGAGATTTCGAGGAATTTAGACGACGCTCTTGGTGCACTACTATTAGAGAAAATACGGTACTCGAGTAAAATTTGCATGAGTAATCTTTACTCGATTAATCGTCGTTTTTTCGTCGAGTAACTACGAGTAATCCTCTTTACACCTCGAGTCAATTGAATTTATTTATATTTGAAGGGGAATTTCGCAGCAAATCAATTGAACAGCTGAATACCTTTAAAAGGAGTCGTATATAAGGCGGCGCTCGTGATTTTTTGCTTCAATTTTTTTGCAATAGTTTCCGCTAAAAGTACGGAGTAAGTAAGAAGGCGTTACTCGCGAGGAAAACACTTTACTCATTACCTTCTTCAATTTCTATAATAACCCACATTTGCATACGATCCAGGCTCCACAATTCGAGGAGCACACTTTACTAATCTTCATGCACGAATCACTTACATCACCTACAACTAATTGCTTTTCTAATAACAGTATAAAGTAAACTTTAGATCAAGGCACATCGGGCGCTTACAGTACTCCAGCTTATACAACGGCACCATATCTAGATATCAAACCGCAAATCTTGGTGAGTGATCAAGAAAGATTTTTGAGACTTTGACAAAAAATTCGCCGTAGCAAAGTTTAATTTGAAACTTTCACATAAATTTACGATGAAATGACATTACGATCCTATTATTTCTTTCAAAAATGATTCAACTCAAAGATAAGCCCTCTATTTCGATTATATAATAGTTTTAGATTGTATAACTATAAGATTATATCATTGTAAACTAAAATTTCTTTAGATTACGATAGATTACGATAGATTACGATAGATTGCGATAGACTACGATAGATTACGATAGATTACAATAGATTACGATAGATTACGATAGATTACAATAGATTACAATAGATTACAATAGATTACAATAGATTACAATAGATTACGATAGATTACGATAGATTACGATAGATTACGATAGATTGCGATAGATTACGATAGATTACAATAGATTACAATAGATTACGATAGATAGCTCGTGATTTTTGCGTATTTGGAACGGGTCGTTGGCTTTGAAGGCCCATAACTTTGCCCAGAGATAATACTATAGTTAACTTTTTCTATCATTGTACAGAAGATGCTAAAAGCACGGTAATTTTTTACTAAACGTGCGTTTTAAAAAAACGCATTACTCGCGAGGAACACACTCTAGTTTAAATGGTGATTGGAACTGAGCTTGAAACTGAATGAGTTTCGATAAGCTACAGTACTGGACAATGAAATATCATATTTGAAAAAACACTTTCGCACTTTCGCGCGTCTGTAACTCCCTTGTCTTTGAGTTTAAACTATTAGTGTTATACATTTTCTGAAAGCTCTTTTCAAGGGCTACACAATGGTAATATTAATATTTAGAAATACGATAAAGACAAGGGAGTTACAGACGCGCGAAAGTGCGAGAGTGTTTTTTCAAATATGATATTTCATTTTCCAGCAGTGTATCTTCAAATTTAAGCATAAGAATTCAGTTACAGTATACAGGGGAAAATTACCCGGATAAGAGTTCTTTGTTCTACCTTTGCAGCCAGCCAAATTAACCGTACAATTTTCGCTATAGTATAAATCGTTTCATTCCTTAATCCTTAATCTATTGGAATATGACTGAAAAGAGAAATTCGTTGACCGAATTCGAAAATTCGCAAGTTTAATTTGAAAATTTCACATAAACTTACGATGAAATGACATTACGATCCTATTATTTCTTTCAAAAATAATACAACTCAAAGATAAGCCCTCTATTTCGATTATATAATAGCTTTAGATTGTATAACTATAAGATTATATCATTGTAAACTAAAATTTCTTTAGATTAAGATAGATTACGATAGATTAAGATAGATTAAGATAGACTACGATAGACTACGATAGACTACGATAGATTAAGCTATTGAAATCTAAAGTATTCTACTATTGATCTAATTCTGTTAATTTTATTAGCAAAGACAGCAACTATAAAAATAGATACTAGATAGAAACTAACTCTATTTTAATGACACTAAACTTGCCCCTAAAGTGATTCGATTCCTTTTTTGGTCACTCGCCTTTCCCCCTCGAAATTTCTTCAATTGTTCGATCAATTGAAACACGTTTTAGTCTATTTTTTAGAGGAGATTTACAACTTTCGTTTGCAACATTCATAATAGTTTCTAACATTCATCGATTCTAGTTTATAACATCAGGTTTCTGTCGTTGGAAATTTATCAAAAATGTTGAAATCCGCATTTCTTATGCATTTACCTAATAAAAGAAGTTTTATGATTGAATGATTGCCTTATATCTGAAGCAAGAATTATCAAATCGTATCTTCCTTTGATTTCCGGTAGCCATTGACTAAAGCATATCTGAAGAAGCTATCTACAAGCTATCTGAAGAAGAAAAGCAGACTGATTATTGAAAAGTACGAGAACTTATCAAAATCTCTTCTCCAACTCACTCATATGCAGCTCCAAAGACAGCTCCAGTCATTCCAACAACCATTACACATTCAAAAGCCTAAATTACATCAGAATTTTGTCATTTTCTTGATTCTTTACAAAGAGAATCCAATGTATTAACAGAAAAATCGATCTCATTGTGAAGAGAGCTAAAATAACGGAAATAATCGGTATAAACATTAGAGAAATGACGGTGATCTGAAAGAAAAGTATAGGAATTGTTTTGAAAGTTTATATACCGTAATTGCATTGTTTAGGATGATCAAACAGAAGAGGAAGAGGCTCGAGCGGCAGCCGATCAAATCAAAGATGAAGAACCTAAAGAAGAAGTCGACAGCGATCCCAGTGAATGATCTAAAAATATTGTTTTTTTTTCTGTTCTTTTCTCCTTTTCCTCTTCAGCTTTTCAAACCTTTCGATATCTCTTGAGATGAAATTTTTCGCTTTCTTTTGTGCAATGTGCAATCAAACTCAGGCGAGTCATCATCTTGATCACTTTTAGGTATATATTTGTAAGCTTATATTATATTTATATTTTGTTTGATGATGTAATAAAGATAAAAAACCAATGAGTTGTTTAGTGAGAGTCCAGGAGAGTCCAGGAGAGTCCAGGAGAGTCCAGGAGAGTCCAGGAGAGTCCAGGAGAGTCCAGGAGAGTCCAGGAGAGTCCAGGAGAGTCCAGGAGAGTCCAGGAGAGTCCAGGAGAGTCCAGGAGAGTCCAGGAGAGTCCAGGAGAGTCCAGGAGAGTCCAGGAGAGTCCAGGAGAGTCCAGGAGAGTCCAGGAGAGTCTAAAGTTTGTCAAATGATGTCTTATGGCTCAAACTATTAGGTTGTTCGAATATAAACAAGCGTTACTAAACTTATTGTTGTGAGGGAAGCTTTTAAAACATGTCTTTCTGTATTTAAAAGTATCTTGTGCATATTTGGAATCTTTTTAAACGGATAATTTCTTATCTTTTTTGCTTGCTTTAGATGATCGACTTCAAATATATCAAGTTCGCGTCTACTTTACTTATCAATAAGCCTACTTTACGACTTCAAACTGAGCAAAACAGTCGCGGAATCCCATCGAGATTTGGAAAAAGCATTTGGGAATGATGTATTGTTCGAAAGCCGATGCCGAGCCCGGTTTCAACGCTTTCGGAATGGTGATGAAAGTCTCGAGGATTATGAACACTCTCGTCGACCTCAAGCGGTAGACAATGATATTTTGAGGGTTGCAATCGAATCGGATCCATGTCGAACGACGCATGAACTTGTTCAACAGTTTCTATGTTCAAATTCTACTATTGATGAGCATCTCCACGCCATTGGAAAGACGATCAGATGCGGGAATTGGCTTCCTCACGAGTTAAGCAGTGCAAAAAAGGCTTCACGGGTCGCTATTACCGGAATCCTCATCCGCCACGCTAAATATCATGGCTTTTTTGGTTCTCTCGTTACTGGAGATGAGAAGTGGGTTCATTTCGATAATACTATTCGAAAACGGAAATGACTAGGACCAGGAGAACGGCCAAATCCGACTGTGAAACCGGACATTCATGGGAAAAAGATCATGCTCTCAGTATGGTGGAATAACAAGGACCCATTGCGATTTGGAAAAAGCATTTGGGAATGATGTATTGTTCAAAAGCCGATGCCGAGCCTGGTTCTAACGCTTTCGGAATGGTGATGAAAGTCTCGAGGATCATGAACACTCTTGTCGACCTCAAGCGGTAGACAATGATATTTTGAGGGCTACAATCGAATCGGATCCATGTCAAATGACGCGTGAACTTGCTCAACAGTTTCGATGTCCAAATTCTACTATTGATGAGCATCTCCACAACATTGGAAAAACGATCAGATGCGGGAAATGGCTTCCTCACGAGTTAAGCAGTGCAAACGCTCATTTATATCCGAACAACCTAAAAACAGCAAATAACATCAACTATCAAAACTAAAACTGAAAATTTGCATAGAAACTGAATAGCAAGCTAACAGCAAGCTAACAAGAAGCTAAGGCCAGAACTTGAAATTCTATTTCCCCGTCCGCAAACCAAAGGCTAAAGAGGAATGGGAAAATATAAACAAAGCTAGTGTTGTGAAAAAAAGGAAATACTTTATGATGCTTTGATTTAAATACTTATTTAAATAGAGAGAGTGTTGAAAATGAAAAGATTGAGAGAAAAATCTGTTGGGAAAATTGCTTTATACTTCTCACATATTTGTCGTTTTCTAAAGTGCAGCTTGTCTGGGTTGTCACTAGGAACGCCCCGTAGTCTCTGCAATTTTATTTTCATTTTATTTTGCTCCCATTTGGTTCTACACTCTTGTATTGGGTTGGGGAGAATGAGTCGGCGCCGAAAATGAAAGAAATTTCTAAAACTTATAGCAGACTTTGTCAAATGATATGCGTTTGATATCCGTAGAAGGGTAACTAATTCTCTACAAAATAATATTTAAAAGAGAAACTCAAACAGCGCCTCAACTCAACAAAGGATCATTTTTTTCACAAAATCGATAAACTGTCATCTAGAGTAAACGGTTGGAGGGATCTTCCTGAAAATTTGGTAACTTTTGTAATTGAGTGTGCTCTATCTTTTTTATATAAACACCAAAGGAGGTTTATGTGGAAGAAACTTTATTTTGTGGAAGAAACTGTTCAAGCAATGAGTCGCACTTTTTGTCATTTTGATTAGCTGTGTTTGGGAATCCATAAAATCCCAAAAAAAGAAAAGCTTTGTGGAATCTCTCAAAAGCCATTTTGTAAAGAAATAGTGGACCATTTTGATGAAACAAAACGTGTATTTAAAGAAGGTTTTATGGGTGCAAAAAGTTTCTTTCAATTTCGGCGCCGACTCATTCTCCCCAACCCAATATATTCTTGTATTCATCTACATCTTGTTTTCGATTCTTTTCTTTTCTGAATTCACATCGATTCAAATCGATTCAAATCGATTCACACCGATTCAGACCGATTCAAAGCGATTCAGACCGATTCAAAGCTATTTAAATAGATTCAAATCGATTCACACCGATTCAGACCGATTCAAACCGGTTCACATCGATTCAAATCAATTCAAATCGATTCTTTTATTCGTCTTCATTCTAGATAAACTAACTGTTAATCTGCAAGAAAGTCAATCACGTTAAAGCAGTCGAACTACTACAACACAATCAACATTTATCTTTCTAATCAAAAATCTCCCACTCGGTCCCTAGGGCTTGTAAGCCAGATCAGGCTAAGTTTAAAGCCAGGCTTTCAAAGCCTAAGCCTAAGCCTAAGCCAAGCCAAGCAAAATCCAGACAGAGGTCAAGTCTAGGCTTGGCTCCTGGCTGGGCCAAGCTTGCAGTAAAGCCGTTAGACTAGACCAGTCTAGGTCTTGTTATGGCCTTTCTCAGCTGAGCTGGTATAGTTCAGAAAACTTGGCATTAGTACAAGTCCTTACACTTGGAAAGTTTGGAAATCGAGTGTAGACTAAAGGAGAGAATGATCTTCAGATAAAAACAAAGATAAAAACAATTGACATCGCCACCATTTGGAGGCCGTCGATGGGAGCGCCGCGTTGTCGTTTCTTTTTAGTTTTCAAGTCATTTGCTTTTGTCAGATTCATTGAAAGTATTGTTTTACGCGATAAATTTTGAAATTAGAAAGAAATTAATTTCTTTTTGGAGTGGAGAATCCGGAACTTTTCGTAGTTAGACCACAAAACTAACTGTAAGAACTATGGATATGCGGAAGAAGCATCAACGTGGAGGGAGACCTAAGACCAGAAGTCGCCAGAAGAAGACGAGCGGCCTGGACAGCACTAGGAAGCATCAAAGAAGTCACAAAGATACTCAAGAATCATCAGAGGATTCGGGCACACCTCTTCGACAGCGCCGTCCTCCCGGCACTCTGCTACGGGACAGAGACCTGGGCCACGACACAGACTACTGAATGAGCCCTGAGAACGACGCATCGAGGCCTTGAAAGGAACCTCCTCGGGCACAATAGGAAGACGCAGCTCAACCAAGACCTAAGAAGTACGGATATGCGCCAGCTCTCAGGACTCAGAGATCCAGTGGAAGTGATTGAGAGAAAAAGACTCAGATGGGCCGGAAGAAGAACAGATGACTGATGGACGATACGGATCACAGAGTGGCTACCACGAGACCAGAAGAGGGCCATCGGAAGACCAGCAACGAGGTGGGGCACAAGAGTGGCAGAGACGGTCAGAGAAGGGTGCAACCAGCACTAGCAAGTCGAAGACTTCGAATCAGGAACAACCAAGATAGGAAACACTGGATGACAATAGCAAGGGATAGAGAAATGTGGAAGCAGGCTGTGATCTGCGCAAAATAGGAACACCTGAGTGCGAAAACAGCTCAAAAAAAAAACCTAACTGTAAGATGGTTTGGGGAGTTGAATGGAAACAACGAAAGCAAGGCTCATCTTCTGAATCGTTAAAAAACTTCAACCTATATTGTTTATCTGTAAGATTAAGCGTTCGATAAAATGCCTTCTCAATTGTCAAAAATAGAGAAACGAGTGAAAATTGCCATACAAAAAAAAATCTCAAAAACACGTGTCTTTCCCCCATCTCTTCACCTTTGATTTTTCTGTTGTCTTTGATTTCTTTTCAGTGAAGAGACACGTAGAGATGACATGAAATATCCTTTTCTTTTTGAAGAGGAAAAGATGAGAAGACTTCTCATCCTTTTGATCGAAAAATGGAGGGAAGAGAGGGCCATGAAAATGAGAGTCTCTTCACCATTCCCGATCGTTGCACTGCCGCTTTTCTTTTCTTTCATTTCTTTTAATAAAAACTGCAATTATAGTGAAATAGATAGTAGAATAGGTAGATTGTGTTGTTGATTGTATTGTAGATTGTAGATTGAAGTATTGGGTTGATGGAAAAGTCCTTTCCGATTTTTTTGGGAGAGTACCTTAAATTTGTCCAATTTTGACGTTTTATAGCTCATCCTAAAGCTGAATTCAAGACGAATTCTTGAGCCAAGCCAGCCAGCCAAGCCTGCAAGCCAAGTCAGCCAGCCAAGCCTGCAAGCCAAGCCAAGCCAGCCAAGCCTGCAAGCCAAGCCAGACCAAGATCTGGTTACTTTTCTAGGTTTAACTTAGTTTAGTCAATCTAGAGAAACCCTGAGAATTTTTTGGGAGAGTACCTTAAATTTGTCCAATTTTGACGTAAATTTGTCCGATTTTTTATAGCTCATCCTAAAGCTGAATTCAAGACGGATCGATTGATAAAAACCGTTTTGAGATATCTCTTTTCTAAAAGTTTTTACAGCTATATTAATAAAGGGCGGCAAAGCCAAAAAATGACTGTTTTCACGTTTCGTTAGTTTTCCGTGCGGGAACCTAGGCTAA